CACAGCCTGTCCCGTCACAGTTACAGTTACAGCCGGCCTCCCCACTGCCCGCTCCTTCTCCCTACACTGGTCCTACTGGAGGTCTTGCTGAGCGTCGTGAGCCTGCGTCTCGCCCTGCGTCGCTTGTCCGTGCCTCTCGCACTAGTGGTCGTGGTTCGCGTCAGCGTCCTCCTCCTGTCCCTGGCACGCACCGGATGTCTCTGCGTCCGTCCACTGCTCCTCTGCGTGCCCCTTTGCCTTCTCCTCCTGAGTCCTCTCTTCCTACTCTTCCTGACCCGGAGTCGGACTCTCTTCGTGCTGCCAGTCCTACTGTCACGCGTCTCCTTGCTACTGTTGTCACTGACCCTTCCTTTGAGTCCACTGCTGCGTCTGCCCTAGTTACTGAGCTCGTCGACTTTGCTGCTCGCTGTCGTCTAGACTACGCTGCTAGTCTTGTTGCTGAGTCTGAGTCTGTCTGTCCTCCGTCCGTCGGGGGTGAGTGTGCCCTTGGCACGGACGTCCTTGAGGACAGGCAGGAGGAGTTCCAGTGTTTGGCTGCTGCTTCACCTCATCTCGTGTCCGTACTGCTTACCCCTGAGGGAGACCCGGATGCACTTGACATCCCGACTCCGCGCTCTTACGCGGAGACGATAGAGGGTCCCTACTCCTCTCAGTGGCAGGCAGCTATGGACGCAGAGATGGCTTCCTGGAAGTCCACAGGCACCTACGTTGACGAGGTTCCCCCGCCTGGGGCGAACATCGTCAGTGGCATGTGGATTTTCAGGGTGAAGCGGCCGCCGGGTTCTCCGCCTGTCTTCAAGGCGCGTTACGTGGCTCGTGGCTTCAGTCAGCGGCAGGGAGTTGACTACTTTCAGACCTTCTCTCCCACCCCGAAGATGACCACTCTTCGGGTACTGTTGCACATAGCTGCTCACCGTGACTACGAGCTACACTCTCTTGACTTCAGCACTGCTTTCTTGCAGGGCAGCCTGCACGAGGAGATCTGGCTGCGCCGCCCACTTGGCTTCACTGGGAATTTTCCTCCTGGCACCCAGCGGAGCCTCCGGCGGCCAGTCTACGGTCTCCGCCAGGCACCGCGTGAGTGGCACGACACACTCAGGACTACGCTTGCGGCTCTTGGGTTTGCTCCCTCTACTGCCGACCCGTCGCTGTTTCTGCGCACCGACACTTCTTTGCCGCCGTTCTACATCCTCGTGTACGTCGACGACTTGGTCTTTGCCACAGCTGACACTGCTGGACTCGCCCACGTGAAGTCCGAGCTGCAGAAGAGACACACGTGCACAGACCTGGGTGAACTGCGCAGCTACCTTGGCTTGCAGATCACCCGGGACAGAGCACGCCGCACCATTACCCTGACTCAGTCACACATGGTGCAGCAGGTCCTTCAGCGCTTCGGCTTCACGTACTCCTCGCCTCAGGCCACTCCTCTGCCTACTCGCCACTCGCTCTCAGCTCTGCCTTCGGATGAGTCCGTAGAGTCGAGTGGCCCGTACCCAGAGCTTGTTGGCTGCCTCATGTACCTGATGACCTGCACACGACCTGACCTTGCATACTCTCTTAGCATTCTTGCACGCTATGTTGCTCCTGGGAGACACAGACCGGAGCACATGGCTGCAGCGAAGAGGGTGTTGCGCTACTTGTGCAGTACATCGGGCATGGGGCTTGTGCTTGGAGGGCAGAGTCCAGTGGTCCTCACTGGACACGCAGACGCTTCTTGGGCTGACGACCAGGCTACGCAGCGGTCGTCACAGGGTTACACCTTCAGCCTTGGTTCCGGCTCTGTTTCGTGGCGGGCTACTCGCTCGTCTTCTGTTCTCGGCTCCAGTTGCGAGGCTGAGATCTACGCCGGGGCCATGGCTGCACAGGAGCTTCGCTGGCTCACCTACCTGCTGACTGACCTCGGAGAGCCGCCTCGTTCTCCTCCAGTGCTCTACGTAGACAACAAGGCCATGCTGGCCTTGTGTCGAGAGCAGAGACTGGAGCACAGAACGAAGCACATTGCTCTTCGCTACTTCCTTGCTCGTGAGCTACAGCAGCGTGGTCAGCTGCGACTTGCGTACGTGGCCTCTGAGGCCAACACTGCTGATATCTTCACCAAGGCACTTGCGCCTTGTGATCATCAGCGCTTCTGTACTCAGCTGGGTCTTGTGCCTACCTTGCCTCACTTGCTCACCTCTTGACCTTGTTTGTACTGTTGCATATATATATACTCCTGCTCTTGCTTGTTTAGCCTTATATATATATGTAATCCTGCATGTGAACTGACCTTGTGGCCTTGAACTTGTGCTCGGAATGTGTGGTGACTTTGTGATCCACCCTGAGCTTGCTTTGCTTTGCTTGACTGGTCTTGTGACCCCTTGTTCTCCCCCACTTTGCCTATGGGGGTGTGTCAGAGTTATTTGACATAGTTACTGTAGGCTATAGTGGGGTAGCACATATGGGGTACAGTTTCCTAGGGTTTGCCTTTTGTACCCAACTTTCACTTAGTCATTTCATTCCTGTTTTCTTGATTCACACCTGGTCAGCGGCCTCCCCGACTGCGCTGCGGCATCGAATGCCGTTGCGCCGCATGGCACGGCGCACCCAACCGACGGAGCAGCGGAAGGTGTCGGGGATATCCATGCCGCGGGCGAACCTCGCGACATGGTCGCGGATAGTCATCAGTGTGAGTGGAACACCTGCAGGGCCGGCGGAGCGGATCCAGCGCGCCATAGCCTGCTCAAGCTCGGGGTACGTGCCGCCACGCACTCGAACGGTGTTGTCGTTGGGGGACGTTGCCGTCCAACGCTCGGCGCTTTTGAGCACGCGCCCAATGGTCGAGCGATCGGGACGGATCCCGTACCGGGTAAAGCACCAACGCGCCAGGTCGACATGGCGCATACGCGGGTTGCTGACATGGTGGGCACAGATTGCCCTCTTGATATGCACGGGAACTTGGGCTCGGCGAAGGAGGCGCGGCATGGTTAGCTACTGAAAGGCTGGGTAAGTCTTGTGACTGGCGAGTTACAATGTCAATTTATCTACGACTGAAAGAGCTCGGGAGACTCAAAGTTGTGTGTGTCTCATCGCGGCGCACCAATGTGAAGTGGCAACATTCTGGCGAGTGAATGTTGCCACATTTGCGCTTGTAACACTCCTTCGCGGAGTGAATGTTGCAACATTTGCGACTGAAACCTCGCAAATCGACTGAATTGTTCCAGGATTGTGTTTGTTACTCGCACGAGTAACAAACACAACAGCTGATGACGTGTGCATAAGTGCGCTTTGTGGACATTGTTGGGTTTATATCCAACTTCGGCAATGTCCACGTGGCGCGGATGGGGAGAGGTGTGTTCGTTTGGTGCACGATGAGCCGCATCGACGTGGCATACAGTCATTTGCGAGACTGTGCGCGACGTCAAAACTCCGTCGGCCACAGTTTTCGCGAACCCTGTCCCTGGCCTAAAAACAGGGAGATGACGGGGCAACGTTTGTTGTCACGAAGCACATGCGCTTTTTTTGTCGCCTGGCCACCCACAACCAAGTGGCGAATGTGCTTATAAACAGGGTGCAACTGCCCGGGAAAAAAAACACAGGGGCAGACTTTCAATTACGGGCAGAGCAAATTCGCGCGCAGGGGTTGGGCATCCTGTGTATGTAAGTTGGTGAACGGGAGGCGCGGGGAGTGGGTGGGCGCGGGAGGGTGTGGTCGAGTAGAGGCGATTTCTCTGGTCAGGATTCGCCTTAATTACTGTAGTCAGGTGGCGTTCCCTTCCCAGCGATGTCGTTCTTTCTTATGTGTTGAAGCTCGCGCAGTAAGCACTTTGGACTAGATTTGCAGTTGATATCCCGCTGACGTATAAGTTTCCCCCGGTTTAATCCAATCCATTTCTTCGTCACTTGCTAATGCGCGGAATCCGCCGTTCATCATGCGTCGACGCGCCGCCAGCTCGCCGCGCGGAGGAGATCGTTACCGCGAAGCGGCGAAGCGAGGCGAGATCCTGACCGTCTGTTTGTTCATCGTCACCGTCGTTATTCTCTGCTGCGCGTCGCTCATTTCGATATACTCTCACGAAGGATCCGCGCTTCTGCGAGAATGGTCAGCATCGTCCAAGGGACAAACGCCTCCCAGTACAATCGGAGGTTCAAAACTGGAAGGATCGGAAACCGAATCGCCGTTTTCCGGGCAGCAGGACAGCACTGGTAGATTCCACGGGGAGTCTGAGACTGCGGAAATGAGCAATGCGGACCACTTGAGCGGATTGAGTCAGATTCCAGGATCTATGCTAGATTCCCTGGATAAGATCCGGCGATTTCGGAGGAGGTTCGCGTGCATTAGCAAGGCGGGTCGCTGGGCCTATAACTCCACTCCTCGGTTGTTACCGTGGCCGGACGAATTCAGCGAATGTGACGCAACGTTCGCGAAACTGGACGAAAAAAACCTCGCTATGGAGGGAGCCGATAAGGTGGCGGAGCAGGTGGAGTCCATACAGGGAAGGATAATTCGGGTTCCGGCTTTGGCGAAATGGAGACCGAAAGTAGAGTCTATGAAGCGGGACCAAGCGATGCTGCGTAAGCGTTGGCGCGTAAGAGACACACTTAAGTATGAGTGGTTAATACCAGGACAGGTGGAGGATGAGGAAGAGGCAGGCAGCGGAGGAGGACGAACGGACGGCCGAAATTACGCCACGTGTGGTGACTCCTGGACCAGATTTGACCCTGAGCAGTTTTGTCAGATTATCGGCGGGAGGAATGTGCTTGTAGTGGGGGATTCTAGTAATATGGATTTGGCAGATTCGATTTGGCGGAATGCAAGGGTGGGAGCGAAAAATCCAGCATCCCGCGTTATAAGGGAAAAGGCGACTCCTTACTGCCAGCGGCTGAGAAAGGCGTCCAAGAAACCGTTACAGTCACGCTGCTGGACTGTCAACCTCTGCTCCGATCTTAACAGTACTTATTCCGCGGAGGACCATAACGGCTCTGACAAATCCGTTCCTGGTTCAGATAACGATGGGGAGCAAATGGATTCGATCTCGTCTTTGAGCCAGAAGGGGCGAAAAGGGGGTGGAGGAAAGCGGGAAGAGGAGGAGGAGGGTGCGAACGAGGTGCGAGCAGCATCGGCGGATTTGCAAAGAGGAGAGGGGCGTGAGAGGGCAACCGCTAGTAGCAGGGAAGGCGAAGGGCTCAGGAAGAATGCTCTCCAACCAGAGCGAGGAGGGCAGCAGCAGGAGCTGACGGGACGGCAGCAGGTACAGGAAAGGAAGGAGCAGCAGCCGGCACGGCAAGGGAAACAGCAGCAGCAGCTGCTGCTGCAGGTGCAGCAGGAAGATCATACAGGCAGGGTCACGAAGGCCGGGGGTAGGAGCGAGGGAAGGGAGGAGGAGGCAGGGAGAAGGGACGGAGAAACGGTGGAGAATACAGGGATGGATAGGCTGCGCGAGAGAGGGAGGAGCAGCAGCAGAAGCAGGGTCGACGGAGATGAGGATGGGATTGAGGGGAGGGATGATGAGAGGCGGGTGAGCGATAGAAGCGGAAGGAGCAGGAGAAAGGGGTCTGGAGCCGGGGCTATAGGTGTGGAGGTGAAGATGGCTGCTAAGCAGAGGGGCTCTAGCGTGGGATCAGCTTCTGAAGTTTTCGGGGCAGAGGAGTTGGCAGGTGCGAAGTTCAAGGGGAGAAAGGGCGGGCAGCGGAGTTTGCTGAGCAGTGGAGAGGAAGGTGAGGAGGACGGAAGAAAACGCATACTAGCAAAGCCTTTCCAGTTGCATTTCATACAGGACGATAGTCTGAGTGTTAACTACTCCAAAGGAGTAGGAGCAGGAAACGAGTGGATAGTGAGTAACAAGTTTACGGAGTCGTGGGTGGGGGAGATTACAGCGCAGGGCGTGTCGATAGTGGTGATGAACCGAGGAGCTCACTCCATCTCAGATGAGCAGTTGGAGCGCCAATTGAGATCGACTTTGCTGGCCCTCCGACAGACCCACCCTGACCTGCTCATCCTCTTTATAAGCTCGCCCGCTGCGCACACCAACTGCTGGGAGCACTGGGAGCCGGTAAAGTCTCTGCCTGGTGGGAATGGGGATGGGAGGGAGGTGCAGAATGGGATTGCCAAGGGAGTGGAGTTGGTTGGAGGGGTGTATGTGGATGTGGATCATATGACTGCGCTACGACCGGATGGGCATGTGGGGAGGGACTGTACTCGTTACTGTCAGCCAGGGCTGGTGGATACGTGGACGCAATTACTGTACAATATGCTGTTGGAACTCTTGTAACATTCGGTATCAAGCAGAAACCGTGTTTTGGTGTTTTCATCTGTTGGTGAAATTTCCAGTATTTGTCTCCAAAAATAGGGCTGAAAATGCTTGTATGTACACTAGCCCTGACCTGCGTGACAGAAGTGCAGGCAATCAGGCACCCACCACCCCACATGCTCTTCAAAGTGCTTCATAGGTGTGATTCTCCTAGCAGCATGTTGAAGAGCAGCTGCACCCACATATTGACACTCTCAGCATCTCATATTGACACCCTAAAGTACCAATCAAACGGAGGGCACGAGCAGCCCCAGCAGCATATTGAAGAGCAGCTGCACCCAGGTATCGACCGGGCCCGGGTGGCAGTAGTGCAGGCAGTCCCACCGCCCCACATGCCCATCCGGCCGCCACACCGCCGACGCATTCACATCCATGTACACCCCTCCCACGCCCTCCACCAACCTCTTTAAAATCTCATTCTGCGCCGCAAACCCATCCCAGTGCCAGTCATCATGCGGCAGTGCCAGAAGCTTCCCGGAAAGCGGCTTCCGGTGCAGCCAACATCCAGGATGCCCGGCGGGGGTGTTTCGGACGATAATTAGCAGATCAGGGTGGGTCTGTCGGAGGGCCAGCAGCGTGGACCGCATTTGCCGCTCAAACTGATCATCTGCAATGAAGTGAGCCCCTCGGTTCATCACCACTATCGACACGCCCTGCGCTGCAATCTCCCCCATCCAAGTCTCTCCGAAGCTCTTATCCAACATGAAATTGTTAACCGCTTCGGTGGAATTGAGGTAGTAATCTCGGACATAAAAAATCCGGACGGAAAATCCAAGGTCGGCACAGAGACGAAGGGTCCAGCAGCGTTTGTCTGCCGGCTCTTTGGTAGCATTGCGGTATCGCTGGCAGTAGCCTGTCGGCTCACCCCATTGGACCCGGGAGGCCTGGTCCTTGGCGCCTAGCCTCACATTGTACAAGATGGCATCGGCTAGCAGCAGGTTTATTGAGTCACCAACTATAAGCAGACTTCGTTTATCCAGAATTTCGCAGAACTTTTCCGGGTTGAACCATTCCCAAGGCCCACCGCATCTGCTGCCGTTGATAGCTTCTGGTGCTGTTGCTCCATCCTGTCCCTCCACGTTGCTTCCTGGAACCTTCCAGACGTACTTAAGCGTCTCTCTTACAGCCCACTGACGCATGAGAATATCCTTCTGTCTCTTCAGCCTTTTCAACTGGTTCACCTGTTGCCGAGGAATCACTTTTCCTCCCCCAGTAATCTCCTCTATCTGAGTCACAACCTCCTGAAACTGTCCCACCACGCGATCCGCGTCTTGAAACGCCACGTTGCGCGAGCCTTTTCCTAAGTGAAACTCGTCGCATTTGCTCATTTCGTCCGGCCAGGGCAGCAGCCGCGGCGACACATAGCGGGACCACTTCCCCTCGCGGCCTATGCAATCAAATCTTTCTCGGAAGTATCTGATCTTATCTGGGGAATCGAGCAGAGAGCCTGGGATTCTGGTCCAGAGGGTTGGTGAAGGTTCAGAGAAAGAAGGGTCGGTAGGAGGTTGGGAGGGAAGTTCGGTATGAGGCTTGGTGGGAGGTTCGGTAGGAGGTTCAATAGGAAGTTCGGCAGGAAGTTCTGTAGGAGGTTCAGTAGGAGGTTTGGTAGGAGACTTGGTAGGAGGTTCGGTAGGAGGCTTGGTGGGAGGTTTGGTAGGAGGTTCGATAGGAGGTTCGGCAGGAAGTTCGGTAGGAGGTTCGGTAGGAGGTTTGGAGGGAAGTTCGGTAGGAGGCTTGGTGGGAGGTTCGGTAGGAGATTTGAATGGAAGTTCGGTAGGAGGCTTGGTGGGAGGTTCGGTAGGAGATTCGGTAGGAGGTTCTGCAGGAAGTTCGGTAGGAGATTTGGTGGGAGGCTTGGTAGAAGTGTCGTAAGGAAGTTTGATACAAGGATGAATAGGAGGGTTGATTGGAGGGTTGGTGGGATGTTTGGAAGGAGGAGTGGTAGGAAGGTCGGTAGGAGGATTAGTTGGGGGTTTGGTGGGAGGAGGGAATCCGACACTAGAATAAGAGGAAGGTGAAATTTGTGTAGATGGGGTGACGCGTGATTCTGCTGAAGATGATTGTTTAGGCACCTCAGGAACTCCTGAGCCTGAGGTATTGAGATTTGACGGGAATGCTGTTGTGCCACTCACAGGAAAAGGGTTTGCTGGGACTGCGACGCGAGGAGAATCGGCTACTCTAACGAACTCATGGCCTCCCGGGAGTTGGTCGCCGGCAGACGGCTGATCGCCGTCGGTGGAATTAGGGTAACTGGAGGTGAGTCTTGTATAACGAACCAGGAGAAAGGAGATGCAGTATGTGTTTAGTCCAATGAGAGCGACCGAAATAGCGGCGAGAGCAATTGCGACGCGGGCGTGAACCGTCGGGACGGTTTCGGCTAGCCATTTTCGAGGTTTACTACTGGTCGTCGTGCCTTCCGATCCTGCTAGAGTCATGGCAGTGGCGTAGCTGGCGTATTCCAGAAATCGTCGCAGCAATGTCTCTCAATCGATCGACTCGACACACGCTGTTGTGCAACAGTCTGAGGTAGCGTAGCATAGCTTGTGCGCTGATTGCAATTGAAAGGATTGATACGTCGCCATGGCACAACGAGGAGGACATGATGAGCGCGCGGCGGTGCATCTTAGGGCGGGTCCACAGCGCGTTCGTCCTCGTTCGTTCTGTGCGCCGGTTACCCGTGTTGCATCACGGTGCAAAACGGTGAAGCTTGATAACCGCTGTGCGCAGTCACGGTGCAAAACGGTCTGAAATCGTCTTGCGCCACGACGGACTCCGCCCTTAGGATGAACTGCAAACGAACGCGTTGGACCCGCCCTCAGGACGCGTCACCTCGGCCGATTTCGCACGATCGATCGTGCAAAATCGACCCTCCACCGCACTCAAATCTTGCTTATTGCATCCACAACTCTCAGAACCCTGCCAAACGACAACGATCCTACGCAGGATCGATCGCAGGATCGTTGGCAGAGGTGACCCTCCGTACCTAACGCCATTGGATTAATACGTTGTACGGATCAAAACGTTGCACGGAATGTGTTGTACGGAGACGGCACCGCCAGCTCGGAAGCACACGCTCCCTCTCTCTCCCTCGGTGTTCTCAAGGTAAGAAAATCGGCGAGAAACCTGGCAGCAGGCACCACATGCTCTCCTCTCTCCCTCGCAAGAACTAGACACGTGAGAACTTGTTCAGTGTTCAAGGTAAGGCAAGCAAGACTCGACAAGACTCAACGTTGTAGGGAGCGGTAAAAGCTGAAGTATACATTTGTCAGCTGGGTTTTGGGTTTAGGGAGCTTGCCCCACAGGTTTGGGGCAACTTTTCAAATTTCAAAAGATTTTGAACCCCTGATTTCAAATGTATACCGCAGCTTAAAGAAGGCAAGAGGGAGGGTTGAGGGCAGAAGAATGAACTACCACCGCACTGAATCCATGCGTAACGTCTCGGAAACCTACAAAAATCGATCCCGCAATTGTTACTATGCCCTAAGAGGTTGCCGACTTATCAGCAGATAAGTCACAACACCCCCAAAAGAAAAAAGCCTGGGATGCCACGCCAGCGGAGGATTTGCCCGCTCCGTCTATTGCTGACGCAGCACCTGGGACCACTTGGGACTGGTTCGCGAACACCATTTTTCAGCCGTACGCGAGGACGACCACAAAAATTGCACATGTCTATAACGAGTTCATGTTAAAGGTCGGGGGTGTATCATTCATATGAACCGATGAATACTGACAATACAAACTTTTCTGCTAGTGAAGCACATGAAGTACACATACTATTATAGCCCCCCACTTTTTTCACGACGTAATTCATAAAGCGCGGATTTGTTTACCGATAATTAACTTCAGAATTAGTAAGGTCTCGAATACATTCCATAAGCAGTTTTTGGATGGATTGAATTATTTCCACTGACATTGTTGATGATTACGCTGAAAATCCCTGTGGTAGGGAGGAGCCGAGTTTTGTTTTGTGCCACAAGAAATGATCACCTCCAAGGGCATCCACTGTACAGTGTTCCAAGCTACAGCAGTAGCAGCTTATTAAACAACAGCTGCACCCAAAATATCCACTGTGTTGAAAACATTCTCATCCCAACACACTGGCCTGGGTGGCAGTAGAGCACACAGTCCCTCCCCCCCACCACACGCGGCATGAGGCGCCTAAAAAACGTTACTGTAGCAGTCCCAGCAGCACGTTTAAGAGCAGCTGCACCCACGATTCACGGGGCCAGGGTGGCAGTCCCAGTAGTAGGTACTTGTAGTGGGTGATCCCCTTGAAGCCCATAGTAAGTGCCAAGGGACCTCCAAACTGTTTCCACAGTCCCACACCCTCAGCCGCTGGGCCCGAGCAGCCAAATCATCAGTTTGAAGAGCAGCTGCACCCAGGTATTCCCACATATCCACCAGTCCCGGATAACAGCAGTTCAAGCAGTCAGTTTCCCACTAGCCCACAAGCCCTTCGAGGCACCTCCAAAGTGTGATTCTCCCAGCAACTCAGCCGCTGGGCACGAGCAGCCCCAGCAACAGGTTGAAGAGCAGCTGCACCCACGTGTCCACGGGGCCCGGGTGGCAGTAGTGCAAGCAGTCCTTTCTATCCACATGCCCATCGGGTCTCCATACTGCCGACGCATTCACATCCATGTACACCCCTCCCACGCCCTCTGTCAGCCTCTTCACAATCCTATTCTGCTCCGCAAAATTGTTCCAATGCCAGCATTTGCCCTCCGGAAGGTCCAGAAGCTTCTCGAAAAGCGGATTATCATGCAGCGAGCAGTTGAGATGCCCGGGCGGGGTGTTTCGGACGATAATGAGCAGGTTAGGGTGGGCGTTTCGGAGGGCCAGCAGAGTAGGCCGCAACTGCCGCTCAAACCTGGCGTTGTGACGGTAGTGAGCCCCTCGGTTCAAGACCAGTATCGACACGTTCATCGGTACAATCTCATTCATCCAAGTCTCCTTAAAGCTCCTATCCAACAGGAAATCGTTCACGTCTTCTGTGGAGTTTAGGTAATAATCCCGGACAAAGGAAATCCGGACAGAAAAGCCGAGGTCTGCACAGGCATGAACAGTCCAGCAGCACTTGTTGTTAACAAGCTTTACTAACTGTGTTGCGATTCGGTACCGCTGGCAGTAGCCTGTCGGCTCTTCCCATTGGACCCGGGAGTCCTGCTTCTTGGCGCCTACCCTTAGGTTGTGCCTGATAGCCTCGGCTAGAAGCATGTTCATGGAGTCACCCGCTACAAGCACGTGTCTCTTGTCTAGTAACTTGCAGAAGTTTTCCGGGGAGAACCGATCCCAAGGCCCACCGCATCTGCTGCTGCTGCTGCGAGCTTGTGATGTCCCGCCATCCTGCCCCTCTGCGTCGCTCTCTGGAACCACCCAGCGATACTTGAGAGTCTCTCTTACAGCCCACTGACGCCTAAGAATGTCATTCCATCTCTCCAGCTTCTTCAACTTGTCAATCTGCTGCTGAGAAACCTCCTTTCCTCTCCGAGTAATCTCCTCGATTTGAGTCACAACCTTCGTAAACCGTCCCACCAGATGATCCGCGTTTTGAAACGCCACGTTGCGAGAGCTCTTATTCAGATGACGCACGTCGCATTTGCTCATCTCGTCCGGCCATGGCAGCAGCCGCGGCGAGTCGTCGTAGGCCCACTTGCCCTCCCGCCCTATGCAATCGAATCTTTCTCGAAAAAATCGGATCTTATCGGGGGAATCGAGCACAGAGCCTGGGATACGGGTCCAGAGGCTTGGGTCAGGCTTGGAGAGAGGAAGTTTGGTAGGAGGTTTGGTGGGAGTTTCAGTAGGAGGTTTGGTATTGGTAGGAGGATCAGTGAGAGGTTTGGCGGGAGGTTTGGTAAGAGGTTGGGTAGGAGGTTGGATAGGAGGTTTGGCGGGAGACTCGGTAGGAGGTCTGTCAGGAGGTTCGGTACGAGGTTCGGTAGGAGGTTCGGTGGGAGGTTTGGTAAGAGTGTCCGAACTAGGATTGATAGGAGGCTTGGTAGGATGCTTGGTTGAAGGTTTGGTGGGAGGTTCGGAAGGAGGGTTTGTATCAGGTTTGGTAGGAGGATTAGTAGGTTTTGTAAAAGGGATGGTGGGAGGTTCGGTAGGAGGATTAGATGGAGATTTGTTGGGAAGATTGGTGAGAGGTTCGGTACTGGGAGGGTCAATTGAAGGGTTGATGGGAGGAGGAGACGGTTGATTGCTGTTGTAGGGGTCGAGTCGCAGCTGACTCGGCTCACGTGGCTTCTGGACTTCTGCAAAATCGTCGTGTCCGTATGCTTTTCCTGATAACGCTGACGTGGCCGCGGCCACGTCTGCCACGTCAGAACTTCTGAACGGGACAGCAACGGAGGCGGTGGGATCGGTGAATTTTGAGGCGATATTACGAATCGGGAGAAAGAAAATGAAGTACGTGTGCAGTCCAATGAGAGCGAACGCGAGAGCGAGAGAGATTGCGATGCGGGCGTGTTCCGTCGAGACTTTCACGGCCTGCCAATTATTAGATTTGGTCGTCGTGCCTTCATCTGGTCCTAGAGGCGTGGTGACTACCATGGTCCGTAAGAAGTCGTTGAACTGTCGAAACACACGCAAACTAACTATTTCAGCGGAGGTATTTTGGACGATTAGCAACAACAGATAGCTAACGACACTTCTGCGTTGATTCATAATATTGATGTCACATAAATTATTTCTAACTACAACATTTCGCAGAAGCATCATTCTTTGATAAGCGCGTACTAAATCATCCTAGGTGGGTCGTCCGTGATTCACACTTTAGGAGGCTCGGCATAACTCAAGCTGAAGTATTGTGGGAGAAAATACTCAGGAGCCTCGGCAATTTCTAGGAGAGTGCTGAACTGAACACTCTTGGGAGCTGAGATGGTTATCAGGTGGGTTTGGGTGGCTTCGAGGTGGGGTGAGATCTTAGACCACTGTGTAGCGCACACAAAACGTTCAGAATCAAATCAAACCGTCTGCCACCCATTTGATTTTCCGACGATCTTTCCTGCACGACTGTCACTGACCTTTGTTCAACAGTGGCATTTGACAGTTTTCGTTCAACTCGAAATTCCAGTCAATTTCCGTCTGATCGGAAAATGGAGTCGAGAATGCTGGTTTGGGACGGAACTGACGGACGAACTGGAGGGGGTGCGTTTCAGAAGAACGGATTACTCGGAATCAGCACTGATTCCTGACGGAATTTTGTGCGCCACAAAGAATCCGAGTACCGATAATGTTGAGAAGGGGAATGGGACTAGATAGATCGCTGTTTTCTTGAATGTATCGTATTGTATACATATTATAGACTTCTTTTGCAAACATCTTCATGCATCATGTTTGGAATTGAGAGTATATGTGGGACTGAAACAACTTGTAACCGAAGTCGTGTTCCCTTTATTTGCTGACAACTTTTCACCCATCCATGTATCGGCATCTCAGCATGTCATCTGTTTGGCAGCAGCAGCCCCAGCAGCATATTGAAGAGCAGCTGCACCCATGTATCCACCGGACCCGGGTGGCAGTAGTGCAGGCAGTCCCACCGGCCCACATGCCCATCGGGCCGCCACACCGCCGACGCATTCACATCCATGTACACCCCTCCCACACCCTCCGTCAGCCTCTTCAAAATCTCATTCTGCGCCGCAAACCCGTCCCAGTGCCAGTCGTCGTGCGGCAGTGCCAGAAGCTTCCCAGAAAGCGGCTTCCGGTGCAGCCAGCAGTGGGGGTGACCGGCAGGGGTGTTTCGGACGATAATGAGCAGATCGGGGTAAATTTGCCTCAGCGCCAGCAGCGTGGATTGCATTTGCCGCTCAAACTGATCGTCTGCAATAAAGTGAGCCCCTCGGTTCATCACCACAATCGACACACCCTGTGCTGCAATGTCATCCATCCATGACTCCCCGAAGTTCTTATCCAGCATGAAATCGTTCTCCGCTTCTGTGGAATTAAGGTAATAATCCCTCACGAAAAAGATCCGGACGGAAAATCCGAGGTCTGCGCAAAGATTAAGGGTCCAGCAGCGTTTGTCTGCTGGCTCTTTGGTTGCGTTTCGGTATCGCCGACAATAACCTGTCGGCTCACCCCACTGGACCCGCGAGTCCTGGTCCTTGGCACCTAACCTTACATTGAACCGGATGGCGTCGGCTAGAAGCATGTTTATTGAGTCACCCACTATAAGCACGCTCCGCTTGTCGAGAATTCTGCAGAACGTTGCCGGGTCGAACCATTCCCAAGGGCCGGCACATCTGCTGCCATTGATACCACTACCATCTAGTGCTGCTGCTCCATCTTGACCGTCCGTGCTGCTTCCTGGAACCAACCAGAAGTATTTGAGGGACTCTCTTACAGTCCACTGACGTATCAACTCGTCCCTCCGTCTCTTCAGCTGCCTCAACTGGTTGAGCAAATGCAGAGGCGCCCCTCTCCCCATCTTACTAATCTCCTCTATTTGACTCACAACCTCCTGAAACTGCCCAACCATGCGATCCGCGTCTTGAAACGCCATGTGGCGAGAGCTCTTTTTCAGGTGCCCCACGTCGCATTTGCTCATCTCGTCCGGCCACGGCAGCAGCCGCGGCGAGACGTAATGCGACCAATTGCCCTCACGGCCTATGCAGTCGAACCTTTCTCGGAAGGATCTGATCTTATCCGGGGAATCTAGAACGGAGCCTGGAATTCTGGTCCAGAGGGTTGGTGGATTATTAGAGAGAGGAGGATTGGTGGGAGGTTTTCTGGGAGGGTCGGTGGGAGGATTGGTGGTAGGTTTGGTCGGAGGGTTGGTGGAAGGAGGAGGTCCGGCACTAGCTTGGGAGGAAGGTGAAATCGGAGCAGATGATGGTGTGACGTCTGGAACAGCCGAGGGTAAACTTCTAGACGCCTCAAAAGCTGTTGAGCCTGACGGGGACGCGAGATCTGATGGGGATGTTGTTGTGTCGCCGCTCACGGGCGATGAGTCGGCGACGGAGGGTAACCCGACGTGAGGACCGTGAGGATGAACGGTTACGTTGACGGATTGATCGCCGGTAAGGAGTTGACTGCCGGCAGATGGTTGACCGACGGCAGAGGGTTGACCGGCGACAGAGGGCTGACTCCGGTTTAACTGCAGCTGATTTTGCTGACGTGGTTTATGGAGTTCCCCAGAGTCGTCATGTCCGGTTAATTTTCCTGCTTGTGCTGACGTGGCTGTGGAATCGGAAAAACTGGAGGCGAATCCAGAAGAGAATCTTGAAACCTGATCCAGGAGAAGAGGAGAGGATATGCCGTACGTGTATAGACCAATGAAAGCGAAGGAGAGAGCGAGAGCGATGGCGACGCCGGCGTGAACCGTCGGAACTAGCTCTAGTTGCTTGATTTGAGGTTTACGAGTCGTCGGATCTTCATTTCCTGAAGCCATCTTCACGGTCAGTGGCTGCTACATTCCAAAAACTGCACCACCATTCCAATAAGAGAAGCCGTATTTCGCCTTTTACGATCGTCCAACCCTTATAGTAATTAAAACGGGGGCTTCAAAACGAAGGCCATCAATAGGCCGTGACTCCCGTATTACTGCAACTAATCTCCAGCCGCGAAAGGCGCGACGAGGAGCACACAATTACGCACCAACTCCTGGCTACTCGTGGTTTCAAGACAGCAAAGGAAGTTGTCATGTCATTCCTAACTGCTTTTCACTGTCGGCTTCATCAGACAAGCATTGTCGGTTCTGCAAAGCTAGTGGGAGTGGAAGTGTTGGTGAAGTCTCGATGTTGAGAAGCCTGTTATAAGTCTCGGCATACAGGGTAGTGATGGAAGTATCGTTCCCTATACAAGAACGCGTTCTGGTAATTCCACCCTACCCAGCCCTACTGGGTTCAATGCTCACTTGGGGATCGGTCAAACAAGTCACAGCTGGCGCGAATTGAGTAACACGAGTAATGCACGTAAGCGAAAACACGATTTCGCCTGACTGAATGTGTTGGCATCCCATCGGTTCATAAGCACACCCTACTGTACTGTTCTCATTGTGAATGCACTATCAGCATTGAATTGCACATTTCATTCTTTGATATGCAACTAGGCAGCAGACATCCCGATATGATACAAGCCAACAAGTCCATACACATGTTGCCGTCTATTCCCCAGCTTCCAGCTTCATCGAGTGCAATGAAGCGTGAAAGGCATCTAGAAGATCCTCCCTTTTTGCCCAAACACCCTCTAGCATGTGTTAATCCCCATAAGCCAACAACCGAAACCAGCAACGCGGCCAGCAACAACAGTGACACGTCTTCACCCAGTGGCCGATTTGCCAGGTGGCGGCGTGCAATTGGTCACCTTGCGACACCTAACGAGCCCCATATGCCCGCACTTGCACCGTGTGCACCAATCCCCGGGCTTGGGGATGTTGGTGGTACCGAGAGCATACCACTTCATTCCCCATGTGGGACCCGCACTGCTGCAGTTGGTAGCTCTGAAAGCTGTAGAAGGAATGGTGGGAGAGAAGAGAGGGCAGGAAAAGAGAGCTCAAAGTCTCAGGCTTGGGGATGTTGGTGGTACCGAGAGCATACCACTTCATTCCCCATGTGGGACCCGCACTGCTGCAGTTGGTAGCTCTGAAAGCTGTAGAAGGAATGGTGGGAGAGAAGAGAGGGCAGGAAAAGAGAGCTCAAAGTCTCAGGCTTGGGGATGTTGGTGGTACCGAGAGCATACCACTTCATTCCCCATGTGGGACCCGCACTGCTGCAGTTGGTAGCTCTGAAAGCTGTAGAAGGAATGGTGGGAGAGAAGAGAGGGCAGGAAAAGAGAGCTCAAAGTCTCAGGCTTGGGGATGTTGGTGGTACCGAGAGCATACCACTTCATTCCCCATGTGGGACCCGCACTGCTGCAGTTGGTGGCTCTGAAAGCTGCAGGATGGTGGCTATGCGAAGGAAATGGTTGAAATACGAGGAAAGGAGTGTTTTAAGGGTTCCGGGCTTGGCATGCTGGTCCCGAGGGCCTACCACGTCATGCTCCATGTGGGGCCCACACTTTTGCAGTTGGTGGCTCTGAAAGCTGATGGAAAGGAACAAGTGGATAGAGTGGAGGGGGAAGACCAACTGCTTTGTTTCCTAAAAAAAAAAAAAAAAAAATCCTTTTCAACTTGGGAAGGGAGGAGGTAGGATTGTGTGGTAGCACATTCGTACAATGAGAACAGGCCACATAGAGCCCATATTTTGCAGCATTACAGTAAGCAGCGCAGAACTCACCATCTTGTGGCGCTATGCACGTGCCAACGTCGATCCTGTAGCCCTCGCTGTCCACGCCACCCCGCCCCACTCGATTGATAAGACACCTGCACAAATGAGCACAGTTAGAAGATGGGATGGAGCAAACAGGGCAGACATGAGTAAACATTTGTGACAGACGCGTTTTCTAGATCTTGTATCCGTCCCCGCCCTTGCCCCTCCTTTCCCCATGGACGGACCAGACACAGGCACACATGAGCATGGAGGGTACGTTGGAAGAAACTTTTGGAAAACCCTCATTGCGCTCACTGGCCTCGCTGGGTCAGCAGAACTCAGCATGGGTCAGCATGGGTCAACATGGGTCAACATGGGTCAGCATGGGTCAGCATGGGTCAACATGGGTCAACATGGGTCAACATGGGTCAGCATGGGTCAGCATGGGTCAACATGGATCAACGTGGGTCAGCATGGGTCAGTATGGTTCAGCATGGGTCAGCATGGGTCAGTATGGTTCAACATGGGTCAGCATGGGTCAGCATGGGTCAGTATGGGTTAACATGGGTCAGTATGGTTCAACATGGGTCAGCATTGATCAAAGCTCCCATATTCTTGTAGCAGCCCTCACTGCCCCAGCTGCCTCCACCCTCTCATTTGACCAGTCACTCGGAAGCCATTTCCGCTGCCTCCAAAAAATCCTTCTCATCAACAACAAATGCCCACCGAGAAATCACTTCTGAAATTTATCAAAACTGATATCCAATCCCGTATGTCTGCTGCAGGGGTGGGCAAGCGAATCCCAGATGAGGGGCGGGTGGAATTTATCGAATCACCCAAGTGTCCATACGTTTGCTGCAGAGGAGGGCATGCGAATCGGCGAATGCTGGCTCCGCGGTAGTTGGTCCGACACTGCACCTCGGGGCACACGCACTGCGCCTCCATGCGCACCAGCTGCTTGCTCCCCGCAATCACCACCGGCACCGCCTTGCAGTTGCAGCGCTCGCAGCTGCTGCTGCCGGGGATGCCGCGCGTTCCCACCGCATAGGGCTGCGACATGAAGGCGCAATAGAGACCCTCTGAGGGTGGGGAGATGGGGAGAGGGAGTGGGGGGAGGGGGAAATGGTAAGGGAACAAGCCAAGGTGTGTCCGCTTTCCGGGGGTGGGAGGGCGGAGGGGGTGGGAGGCGGGGGAGGTAAGAATCGAGATGACGGGATGCGTTTCGTGGCCACATCACAGGGCTGTGCGGCACGAATGCGCACCACAGTCCCGTTGTCGGTAAGGATCGTAGGAGTTGGGATAAGAAATAAACGGGTGGAGTTAGTGTGCCACGTGGCACCATGCGGCACCATGTGGTACCTTGAATCTCTATCAAATCTCCTATTCCCCTCCACCCCCGTCCCATCCCCCCGCTCTTTTCGGAATTATACTTACTTTCGTATGTGCTGTTGCAGACTCCTTTGTAGCGACCGTACGGATTTCCAGGCTTCGGCGTCCGCGATACAAGACACCTGAAAAGGCGAACGCATGAGAAAATGGGAATGCGCTAACAAATTTTGCAAAGCGAATCGAACAAGAAGACACTAATTACAATTATGGGATGAAGATTCGCACAAGAGAATTGGTAGACGTAGCATGTGGAGTAGCGGAAGCAAAACGAGTCAGTCTGACTGAACGGAAACTGATTCAAATACCGACAAATCAGGTAACTGTCAGTGTGCAATCTCAAGTCATTCGACGCTGCTAAGAAACCAGACGGATCGTTTCTGCAACGAATTATGATAATATACCGGTCGAGGCGGGACTGTGAAATTGTTGTCTAGTTTGGGTGCAGATCTCAACTAGCATGTTTGAATGCTTCCTATGCGACTGCTTCGGTTTCGCACGCGAAACGCGCATTAAAGGGTGCAGATAGTCCACCGCATACATAACTGGCTTTAACGGAGACGAAAGCGGCGGCAGCAGACGGCGACTGTAACATTTTGGTGCATGCTAGAAAAAGCAGCCGTTTGTGATTCTTGAGGCGCATACAAGGGAAGTTGGTACATGCCTCCACGTTTGAATCGACTCAGAAGCTACCTCGTTGCAACTTGACGGGGCTTAAATAAGGGTAAAGGACGGGCATTAGCGACTCACGTGGCTGGCCCGCCTTCGCACTCGACGATGGGCTTTAGCGTTGGCGAAAGCAAACAGCGACTGCCGTCTTTTAGCTTCTTCGCCCCTGAAACGCAAAAGGCATTCCGTGGGTTTAAAACAGTAGAAAAACATCTCGCCTTTAACACAAATCTCTCAAGAAGGCAGGAGATAATTAGGGCACCATCAGACCCTAAAGAGCCATCCTGTTAAAGCAGCGGAACGGCTAAAACTACTGCGAGGCGGATAATTCCAGCCAGTCTTACCAGAAACAACGGTTGCAGCCGTAAGGAGTACTAAAAATATTTGAAACCCTCTCGAAATCGCCATTCTGACAGCAAGCGCTCTAAGGAAGCTCTTTGTAACAGCGTATCAAGAGTTGACGTAGGGATTTCGTCAACAAGGAGTTGAGTGGTCCGTGTCTGGAGTTTTTCTATTTCTCCAATCCACTGAAGTGAAAAAACAAATGTAACCGAGGCTGGTTGCAGGGATAGTTGCGGCTCCACTGAATGAGCTTCTATGAATTATTGATACTCGGACGGTTGCAGACACTGGGCAACCCTAACAAGCCTGGACAGCTTAGGAAGTGTTCTATCAAGGTATACGTAACCGACAGGCGGTAGTTGCGGTAATCGTGTAAAATCAGGTGCGTCGGAAAGGCAACACTGTAACAGGGTCGGCTTACTGAGAACAGCAGGCTGGGAGCAACGGAGGGTGGTCACGGATGAAAGATTCTGCTTTGGTTTTCATAGATAGCCCATTCTCTCCATGTCCAGTGGGAGGGTGGGCCGATTGGAAAGACCTAGGTGCTTTGCTCAACCTTCACAAGGCTCTGCTTCAACCTACCCCTGTAAGCATGGATCGAGATAGCAAAGTCCCCGTTCGGTAGGGTGCGTGGCGATGCGGTGGCTGCGCGGAAGCAGCTTGTTGGGCTCGTGGGGGACGAGCAGCGCGGGAGGAAAGAATGGTTGGGAAAGGTTGGGTTCGGTTTGTGGGTTTGAGGGTCTTGCTGGAAAGGAATGGTTGGGAGGAATGATTCTCGCGAGGTTGGGGGTTGGGGGGGGCGGATGACTGGCTTTGCGCGGTAAACTTGCAGAGGGCCTTCGGAGTGCAGGCGGCAACAGTGCTGCAGGGATTTGGCGGCGGCAGAGGTCTCCGCGGTAGTTTGCGCGTCAGCAACCGAGTCGCACATTGGGACAAGGCCCGCGGCGCGGTATTTGCTGCAAATCTCAACTTGTTTTGCCTGCAAAATGGGGCTAGTTTTGATGTGGACTGACGATGTTGAGACTTTGAGCGCAAAAGCGGCGCACCGTGGTCCCCTTCTGAATCTGATGCAGAAACGCCTGACGCAACCCAGGCCGCACAGACCGACGACTGCCCGAACTTACAGTTCTGATTGGCCATTCACCTGCAAAAACGCCGGCTGACTGATGGCGACCGAGCGGCTCGCGACGCAGGGAAATCTACAAATTCTACTTTCAACAAATTCCCCGCTGCAAACAGAATTCGTTGTTTCGTGTATACAGCTCGGAACATAATAATCATTTTGACACGATTATGTGCTGCTCCCAATGCAATCTCCATGGTGCACTAATCTCAGACATGCTTAATAATATCCTACAGCAAGTCTAGCACGTTATGGAGAGACTGGAACCAGCCTGTTAAGATATATGATACGTCAGACCATTAAAACAACAATAAACGTAAGGTAATCAAGTATTCAATCACCTACCACGGTAAGACTTTCCTGAAACCCTGCTTCTCACTGGCTAAGATACACAGGAGCACCGTCTTTACATTTCCATTTGCACCTTTGCATTCACCTTCCGTCCTCAAAATACTCAACAAGGAGGTGCTCCACATCAGTGCGTGTGGTTACCGGGTTACCAAGCGTGAACGCCTTGAGCCAATTGGGCATGCCTGTGGGGAAAAGAAGGTCAATGGGGAGGGTTGAACAACTGTTATAGGTTCCAAAGTTTAGAAAGTTGGCAGGTCAAGCGTGTCATGTCAGGGCTTTCAAGTGTTAATTTGAGACGAAGCCCCAGATCTCTGAGAGCGTGTTCCTACACCTCGTATCAGAAACACCTCGTATCAGCTTAGCGTGGTGAAATACGTTTCAGTGTGTTCGACTGTGGTTGGATGCGTTTTAGTGCGGTTCGACGCGAATCTGATACGAGGTTGCCTGATATGTGGCCGTAGGAACACGCTCTGAGACCAACAGTAAGGCAGTAAACAGGATTGTTCGGGAATGGCCTATTATAACGTGCTTTTCAGAAAGAGATTGCACATCACAGCTTGAAAGGAGATGCCAGAGACGGGGAAGTGTGACCGTATTGGGGCGGAAACACCTCGGATAGTGATGTGACTTTAGAGAGTGGTAATTAGACCTGTGGATGTGACTGTATAGTGCATATCTCAAACAATGAGTCAAACTATGATTGTAACTCCAAAGCCACACCTTGAATTGTGCATGGAAAGGCCGGACATACCTCGAATGGTGACTGGACGCAGGCGCAGGTCGTGCGATTCCTTCTGAAGGAAGAAGGAGAGGCCCGAGGAGAGGGATGCGAGGGGGGCCGCCAGCACCAGCTCCCTCTGCGAATGAGAGGCATTGGGGCGAGCAGGAGGGGGGGCATCAGCAGGGCAAACGAAGGGGGAGATCAGGGAAACATTGGGACACCTTCTGCAGGAAGAGGGAGAGGCCCGAGGAGAGCGAGGTGAGAGAGGTCGCCAGGACCAGCTCCCTCTGCGAATGAGGGGCGTTGGGGCGAACAGAGGGGCGGGCAGAGGGGGGATCAGGGACAGCAGAGGGGGGACCAGGGGCAGCAGAGGGGGGGAATAGGAGTATTGAGATTCCCTCTGCAGGAAGAAGGATAGGCCCGAGGAGAGGGAGGTGAGAGGGGTCGCCAGCACCAGCTCTCTCTGCGAATGACATACGTTGGGGCGAGCAGAAAAGGGGGGAATCAGTGGTGTCATTGGGATTCCTTCTGCAGGAAGAAGGAGAGCCCCGAGGAGAGCGAGGTGAGAGGGGTCGCCAGCACCAGCTCCCTCTGAGATGGACGGGCATTGGGGCGAGCAGCAAAGGGGGGAATCAGGGGAGACATTGAGACTCCTTCTGGAGGAAGAAAGAGAGGCCCCAGGAGAGCGAGGTGAGGGGGGGGTCGCCAGCACCAGCTCCCTCTGGGATGGACGGGGGCGAGAAGAGGAGGGTTCAGGGGCAGCAGAGGGAGGATCAGTGGTGTCATTGGGATTCCTTCTGCAGGAAGAAAGAGAGGGCCGAGGAGAGCGAGGTGAGAGGGGCCGCCAGCACCAGCTCCCCTGAGATTGATGGGCGTTGGGACAAAAAGCACGAGCAGAAGAGGGAATAGGGGAAGGCATTGAGACTCCTTAAGGAGGAAGAAGGAGAGGGCCGAGGAGAGCGAGGTGAGAGGGGTCGCCAGCACCAGCTCCCTCTGGGATGGATGGGCGTTGGGACGAGCAGCAGCAGTGGGGGCAGCAGCAGGGGGGGGGGCAGCAGCAAGGGCAGCAACAGCGCGAACAGAGAGGGGATCAGGGAAGGCGTTAAGACTGCTGGGGGATCAGCAAGGGTGCCTTTGAGGGAAACAGAGATAACGTAGGCAATGCAGAAAATGTAGTGTACCTTGAAGCGTTTGCTGGTTTCGGAGTAGTATGTAGAGAGGATGACCAGCAGGTGCAGCGAGCGAGTGGCTGATGGTGGGCATGAGTGTGGGGGAAAGAGGGAGAGTGACGTGAATGTGTGAGTGGTGAATGAGAAAGGGGGTAGTATGTAGAGAGGATGACCAGAAGGTGCAGCGAGTGATCGGCTGTAGGTGGGTGTGGGGGAGAAGAGGAGACAGAGGTGAGTGGGTGAATGGTGAATGGTGAACGGGAAAAGGATTAGTATGTAGAGAGGATGACCAGGAGGTGCAGTGAGCGAGTGGCTGTAGGTGTGCGGGAGAGTGAGAGAGCAGCAGAGCAGATGGCAGATTAGCAGGCATGTGAGTTTTTGGTGTAGATGGGTTGGATGCACACGTTAAGTGGAGCGGATGCACAGCAGATAGAGGGAGAAAGTGGAGGGTAGGTGTGAGGGAAGCAGAGGTAGGGTTGTAATGCAGAGTAATTGCATTGAAAAAGGGAGTGGAATGTGGAGAGGATGAGTAGCAGACGCATAAATCACAGAGAAGCTGATTCAGAATCTCCTCAAATTTGGCGTCCTTGTTCACCAGCTGCGAGGCAAGCAGTCCGCATTCCCAACAGCACCACAGCTGACCAACACCACCGCCCCGACTTTTGAGTCGACTCAAACTGACTTTTGAGTCGACTCAAGAGGCAAGCAGTCCGCATTCCCTACAGCACCACAGCTGACCAACACCACCGCCCCCCCCCCCATGACTCACAGAGGAACTGTTTAAGAGTCTCCTCGAACTTGACATCCTTGTCCACCAGATGCGATGTCGAGCTGCCAACATTCCCAATACCACCACAATGGACCAACACCACTGCCCTCCCCCCCCCACACCCTCAACTCACAGAGAAACTGCTTCAGAATCTCCTCGAACCGGACATCCTTGTTTGACAAGCTGGGATGTCGAGCTGCCCACATTTCCTTCGCCTTGCTAGCGGCTCATTGGCTGATCTCCAGTGTCACAGCACTCACAGAGGAACTGCTTGAGAATCTCCTCGAATTTGGCGTCTTTGTTGACCAGCTGCGATGTCGAGCTGCCCACGTTCGATATCGCCACGTTCAGCACCTCTCCGCCCTTCTTGCCGCGCACACCTGCACAGTGAGAGAAACCAAAAGAGAGTAACTTGGTGCCACGTCACATCACATGGTGCCGTTTCATTCAATATCGCCACGTTCAGCACCTCCCCGCCCTTCTTGCCGCGCACACCTGCACAGGGAGAGAAACCAAAAGAGAGTATCTTGGTGCCATACCACATCACATGGTGCCGTTTCATTCAATATCGCCACGTTCAGCACCTCCCCGCCCTTCTTGCCGCGCACACCTGCACAGGGAGAGAAACCAAAAGAGAGTATCTTGGTGCCATACCACATCACATGGTGCCGTTTCATTCAATATCGCCACGTTCAGCACCTCCCCGCCCTTCTTGCCGCGCACACCTGCACAGGGAGAGAAACCAAAAGAGAGTATCTTGGTGCCATACCACATCACATGGTGCCGTTTCATTCAATATCGTGGCACCATGTGATGTGGCATGGCATGTCTCCGCCCCTTTTGCCGCGCACTGACTTTTGAGTCCACTCAAAAGTCACTCGATATCGTGGCACCATGTGATGTGGCATCTCTCCGCCCCTTTTGCCGCGCACACCTGCGCATCATGCCATGCCGCATTCTGCCATGCCACACACTGTGCGGTGCAATACCAAAATCCTAGCTTTGAGACGTCTCAAACTCTGAGGTGCAATACCAAAAACCTCATACCCACATGCTGCACTCACCGGGTCCCATGGCATGCTGCACTCACCGGGTCCCATGGCATGCTGCACTATATCCGCTCTAAGGAGTTCCTCAGTAGTGAGCGAGGCCTGGTTGTACTTCTTGTCGCGCACTGGGAGGGAGAAGGAAAGGAAAGAATGGGCTTTCCATGTTCTACTCAAACTTATACGGTTTCAGATTTTCCCTTGTTCTTTCAAAGACCGTCTAAGAAGAAAAAACATCCAAACAACCAAGAGTCTAAGATTCAATTGGGAGAGTTAACTGAAGCAAGCATCTATTATTAGACGAAAATATACAAAGAAAACGCCGTAGAAAAAGGTTCATTCCAAAGAGCTCGTACATGCATGCTTGGAATTCCCGCAGTCAGCATTCCTTGCAAAATGTTCCTTTATAAATACACCTATATATTGTATATCTAAGGGAACAAAATGGTTCCGGTAGATCTATAAGCACTCCACTCACAGATCTCGTAGAAAACGTTGCGCCCGAGGCACCTCGATCCAACGGCCAGGAATGCTGCCATGCTGGCATCGACCTCACTGCTCTGCCCTGGATCCAGGTTGTTGGTGCACGTGAGAATGGCTGCGAGCTGATGGAGGGGATGGGATAGTATGGGGATGGGAAGAGGTGGAGAGGAGGTTGAGAGGAATTAGTGTGCCAAGGGGCCCATCAGCAAGCCCTGCTGGCATCGACCTCACTGCTCTGCCCGGCATCCAGGTTGTTGGTGCACGTGAGAATGGCAGCGAGCTGAATGTGGGGATGAGAAGGTACGGGGCCTTCTCCTCTTCTCATCCAACTCACCAGCAGGGGTGCAAGAGCAGTGTTGAGGAGAAGGTGAGGCGCCTCCTCTGAGTCACTCCAAACTCTAGACTAGACTCGGAGCCACCTTCTCTGTGTACACACAGTCAGTCACGGGGCCAGCAGCCTTACTCTCACTCTCACTTGACTTGACACTCACCAGCAAGCGTGCAAGAGCGGTGTTGAGGAGGAGGTGAGGCGCCTCCTCTGAGAGCCTGCGAGCCAGCATGGTGGCACAGCTGCTGCCCTGGTGGGATGAAAGCTAGTGAGGCGAGCTGTAGAGTGCACCAAGGGTAAGCCAGGGAACCAGCACTCACCAGCAGGCGAGCAAGAGCCGTGTTGAGGAGGAGGTGAGGTGCCTCCTCTGAGAGACGGCGAGCCAGCATTGTAGCACAGCTGCTGCCCTGGTAGGGATGAGAGGGAGAGAGGGAATACGAGAGACGATGGGAGAAAGGATAAATTTTAACAGAAAGAAGCTCCATTGGTTGAAGCCAAAGATGGGAAAGAAAGATGTTGCTCTGGCTGGGGGGAATTATCGTATGTTTAGGAAAACAAAGATAAAGTGAAGGGCCATGACGAAAGACGGGAAAACACATTAGAAGAAGGGTGACTTGCCTCTTCTGCGGTTCGTGGGAAGATGGGATGTGAGATGACCGATCCCTGCTCCCCACCCTCAACCCGGGAACAGGTATAGCGACATGACTATTGATTCTTGACAGAGAAAGGGATAACACAACACAAGGTGAGGTGCCTAATGAGTCGACTCAAAAGAAGATGGGATGTGAGATGACCGATCCCTGCTCCCCACCCTCAACCCGGGAACAGGCATAGCGACATGACTATTGATTCTTGACAGAAACAATTATGAAAAACACGAGGAAAAACAAAAATCACAAACACTGTAAACATTTTTCAACGACAAATGCTTGGTAGCCACTGCGATCGGTGCATCAGCGAGGCATCAGCAAGGGTGACACGTGACTTTTGAGATTTCTCAAAATAGAATGGGAGGGAATTGTAGACCAGCTATACTGGACTCACTTTTGAGAGTTAATAAAAAATAAAGCTTGGTAGCCACTGCGATTCGTACATCAGCAAGGGTGACATGACGTGTGAGACAGTCCATCCCATTCCCCATTCACACATAAGCCATCCCTCCCTGCACCTAGCCCTCTCAACACTCATCAACAGGCTTGTGCCAAGCAATTTGGGGAATGATTTTCGAATCAGAAGTATGCTTTTGAGAACTCTCAAGACTGACACAAGCATCGCCATAAGGAATCTATTGAGCCAACTCAGAGGTCAAAACCCATTCATACTCCTGTGCATCCGCTTTCTTTCTGACACTCACTGTTTCCCGGGGAATGATTTCCGCAACAGCTTTCTCCATGCCCTGCTGGTACAGGGGGTGAAGAGAGATGAAGTGGGGTGAACAGGATTGATGTGGATGTACGCAGGCATAAGGATAGATGCAGAGAGATGAGAAGAGGGGGGGAAGGGAGGACGAGAGCAGGGAGGACGAGGGGAGAGATGTCGAAGGGAGCGACGGTGAGGGTAGAGGGGAGTGGGGAGGTGAGGAGGAGTCGCATCAAAAGCATGGGGAGGAGGAGGAGGAGGAGGAGGAGGAGGAGGAGGAGGAGGAGGAGGAGGAGGAGGAGGAGGAGGAGGAGGAGGAGGAGGAGCTGGAGAAGGTGAGTGAAGGAGAGGAGACAAAACACACAGACACGTGGGAAGGAAAGGTGCACAGACGTATGGTGAGGAGGAGTAGTAGTTTTAACGACTACGTGCTAATGCTAATTACGAGTATCTACAACTAGTAGTGCTCATAACGAGTATGTGCTAGTGTGACTGCACCACTTGCAGTGCAGCCACCCCTCCCTGTGTGACTGCACGGCTTGTTTGTGTTTATCACGAGTATGTACTATTTACCAGTGGAATGTACTATTTACCAGTGGAATGTACTATTTACCAGTGGAATGTACTATTTACCAGTGGAATGTACTATTTACCAGTGGAATGGGCACCTCAATAGTAGCAGGCATCTTCTTATGGCCGTATAGCACCACTTGCAGCCGCCCCTCACTGTATGCCGAGTACAGTATCAGTCCGTTTGCACTACCTGTACCTATGAGCAAGCTTAGTGCGGGTATGCATGTGCTACTAGTGAGGTACCTCAATAATGGCGGGCATCTTGTTGTGGCCCTACAGCACCACCTGCAGCCGCCCCTCCCCAACGGTAACAAAGTACGAACTAGTGCTTATAACGAGTACCCACAAGTGCATATAACGAGTATCCACCAGTGGGGTACCTCGATAGTAGCAGGCATCTTGTTGTGGCCGTACAGCACCACCTGCAGCCGCCCCTCTCCGTGCAGCTTGCGCAGATCAACCTGATGGTGAGGGGAGGATGATGGTGAAGGAGGGGAGGTGGGTTGGGTTGGTTTGGGAGAGGTTGGGGAGAGTGAGGACAACTGACATCACCTGCAGTCGCCCCTCCCCGTGCAGCTTGCGCAGATCAACCTGATGGATGGGCGGGAGAGGATGACGGGTGGGTTGGGATGGGAGAGGTTGGGGAGAGTGAGGACAGCTGACATCAATTGGTAACCTGGTAACCAGACAGAAAGTGGAAGCCCACCCGTCTTGTTTGCACCAGCGACTCACTCTCTGTTGATACCTGATGGTAACCTGGTAACCAGACAATAGGTAACCTATCACCTCATCAAGAAACAAAAGCGTCTGTGTGGCCACCCCCATTGCTTGCAGCAGCCACGCCGCATCTGTGTGAATATGAATATTCAGTGGTAACCTGGTAACCAAACATTCCCTCTCACCTCTCCTCGTCTAAGAACATAAGCGCCTGTGTGTCAACCCCCATGGACTGCAGCAACCATGCCGCGTCAGTGCGAAGGTGGAAGTCCGCCCGGCTCGTGCGCACCAGCGACCTGCCCTCTGTTGATACACGATGGTAACCTGGTAACCACCAAGCCACTCACCTCATCTAAAAAGAGAAGCGCCTGTGTGTCCACCCCCATGGCCTGCAGCAGCCATGCCGCGTCAGTGCGAAGGTGGAAGTCCGCCCGGCTCGTGCGCACCAGCGACCTGCCCTCTGTTGATACACGATGGTAACCTGGTAACCACCAAGCCACTCACCTCATCTAAAAAGAGAAGCGCCTGTGTGTCCACCCCCATGGCCTGCAGCAGCCACGCTGCATCGGTGCGGAGGTGGAAATCCGCCCGGCTCGTGTGCACCAGCGGAAGCAGACAAAGCCCCGCCGCCCGGGCACTGGGCGGCTCTGAATGGTCGAGGAAAAAAGAGTAGACGATGGCTGAGACAATCGCGTCCAGATCTGGTGAAAGGGGGGGAGAGGGGGGAGAGGAGAGGTGGGGTTGGGAAGGGTGCGGAGAACTGGCAGGCTCTGAATGGTCCAGGAAAAAGGAGTAGACGATGGCTGAGACGATCGCGTCCAGATCTGGTGAATGTGTGGGGAGACGGTGGGGAAGGGTAAGGAAGGGATGAATTGGAGGATAGTGGGTGGGCATGGAGTGCGCTGGGCGGTTCTGAACGGTCCAGGAAAAAGGAGTACACGATGGCTGAGACGGTCACGTCCAGATCTGTGGAAAGGGGGGGTTGGGTGGGGTGTTGGGTGGGTGGGAAGGAATGGACTGGAGAATAGTGTGTGGGGAAGGAGTGCGCTCGGCGGTCAGGAAGAAGGAGTAGACGATGGCTGAGACGGTCACGTCCAGATCTGTTGAAGGGGGGGTTGGTGGTCCAAAGGGTGGGAGACAATGCGAGGGGGTATGACAGAGGGTTAGACGACCTGGGCGGCTCTGAATGGTCCAGGAAAAAGGAGTAGACGATGGCTGAGACGATCGCGTCCAGGTCTGATGGATGGGGGGAAGGTGGAGGGGAGGGAGGGGGAGGGGGAGGATGGTGGGGGAGGGGTGAGCAGAACTGGCCAGCTCTGAGTGATCCAGGAAGAATGCGTACACGATGGCTGAGATGATCACGTCCAGATCTGGTGGAAAGGGGGAAGGGATTGGGGGGAAGGGGGATGGGTGGGGGAGGGGTGAGCAGAACTGGCCAGCTCTGAGTGATCCAGGAAGATTGCGTACACGATGGCTGATACAATCGCGACCAGGTCCGCTGGATGGGGGGGAAGGGGAGAAGAACTCGCCAGCTCTGCTTGAGTGAGAGAGGATACCAAAGAGAAGGGGAAGGGGGAGGGAGGGAGAGAGAGGAGCGTGAGGGAGGATGAGGGGGAATGGGAAAAGGAAGGGAGAGGGAGAGGGTAGCAAGGGGGGATGAAGTAGGGTATGGGAGGGAAGGAAGGAGAGGAAGAGGGCGGTGGAATTGGAAGGGGAAAGGGGAAAGGGCTTGTGTTTGAGTGTTGTTTTAAAATTGTTTAAAATGCTTACGCGTTGGGTTTCGCACCGTTTAAAAAAAATTGCGTTGATTTTAATTTCGCGCCGGTAAAAAAAAAACAAACTCAAAAGTGGACCTTGACTGACTTATGGTTTGTGCGAATCTTCTTTTGTATATTAAAACAAATCAAATTTAGCGAGCAAGTACTTGTCGTGTAAATAAATATTCACCCTCCCGTATCCCATCTCTACCTCCCATATCCCCCTATTTCTCCTTATACTCCCTGCCCCGCCTCCTTACCTCTTCCCTATACCCCCCTCCCTCCTCATCCCCCTCATCCCCCCTCTTCCCCCCACCTCACCCGCGAGCTTGCTGGCAATCACCACTTTGAACAGCCACCAAACCGATTCTTAAGACGACTTCAAAATTGCTCCCCATGTTCCCCCTCCCTCATCCTCCTCGTGCTTCCCTTCTCCGCATCTCAACCTCCCATTCCCATTATCTCACCTGCGTGCTCGCTGCCAATCACCACTTTGAACAGCCGCCGAACCGGCTCCTCAGCCGCACTCCCGAACCTCAAATCCAGCTCCGGCGCAGGCACAGATCCGCCCTCCGCCTTGCCTCCCCCCGCATCAATCAGCGACGGCGCGACAGAATCCATGCACCGTCGCCCCCGTCGCAGAAACTCGTTGATTTCGCCAACGCCAGGGCAGATTTCGGCAGCTGCTCTGTCCCCTGAATTAATGCCAGCGCTGGGATTCGAACCCGCGGGCACAGCCGCGTCAGCTGCTTCTAAGAGGCGCTCGCGAGCAACATTGGCGTAGAAAGCAGCAGCGGAGCCGATTAGCTTGCCTGATGCAGCAGCATCAGCGGCCTGATGGTCAGATCAGGAGATATTGAAAAGAAGGGATCAGGAAGGGGAGGTTTGAAAGAGAATCAGCCATGCATGTCACCGATACAAGATCAAAGACGATCGGCATATAGAAGGGAACAGCGGAGCCAATCAGCTTGCCTGAAGCTGCAGAATCGGTGGCCTGATGATCAGAGCACGGGAAAGGGGGGGGGAGGGGGGAAGGGGGGGGGGGTGGGGGTGCAGGAAAAGGGAGATAAGAAAGAGTGTCAGCCATGCGTGCTACCGGAAGGGATGAGAGGACGTTGGCATTGGCATACGAGGCAGCAGCGGAACTGATCAGCTTGCCTGAAGCAGCAGCATCGGCGGCCTGATGGCAAGAGCAAGCGAGACCGGATAGGAGAGACAGGCAAGCGGAGGGAGCAAAAGGGGGATAGGCAAGCAGAGGTACAAAAGGGAATCAGTCACGCTACCTTTCTAAATCAGATCGAAGATACTGGCATACGAGGAAGAAGGAGCAAGTAACTTTAAACTGACACATACGGGAATTCCTGAAAAACCACCTGCGATTCAGCATTTTGAATGAAATGGCCTGAACCTGCAAGTCGACATCCCTTGTAATACGCGACTGTTCCGCTTAGGTCATTGAGCCGGTCGAAGCTCTTGAGAACGGCGAGAGGAAGTGACGTCAGTGACGGCGGATGAGGCACTAACTTGCGAGTTGATCCAATTTCACAACTCCTAACAACCGACTAACCTGCGAGTCGGCATCCTTGTAAAATGCGACTGCTCCTCCCAGGCCCTTGAGCGGGTCGAAGCTCTTGGGAGCGGCGAGCGGAACTGACGGCCAGTGACAGCCGACGAGATACTAATCTGCGAGTTGGTACGAATCCGCAACTCCTTAGAACCGACTAACCTGAGAATCGGCATCCTTGTAAAACGCGACTGCTCCGCCCAGCCCCTTGAGCGGGTCGAAGCTCTTGGGAATGGGCGGTTCCTCCTTTGCCGCCGGTTTCGACGCGATCCACGAAAACATGGCGACGGATCAGATGAACCGTCCGTCCGCGAACTCAAACGTCCTGCAACGGGATGGAAGTCCACGAAGCTGAACTGCCCCGTACGGTCCGCGAAAACGGGAGGCAGAGACGACGAAGCCCTACGATCCGCAATGCCGCTTGGGAGTTCGTAAGAGATAGCTTCAGCAACTACGATAAGCTCGCAACGGCGCGCCACTAGGACCGGTTCTACAAGGGCTCACAGAACAATGAGCCGGACTCGCGTCTCCTTCAATCTCCTGCTTTTGTTTAGTTCCGCTGGCTTGATGTGACGTGACGGATCACGAGGACTGGAACGAGAAAGCAGACTACTCTGAATAAATGGAAAGGAAATTGGACACCGAAGCAAGGACAAGTAAAATCAGGTCAGAGGAATTCGTAGAGACCAGGTAAAATGGGACTCTCTGAAGATTCAGAACGTTAAGGAGAGTTTAAGTAGGCTACTTTCGTTTTCAGTACGGTTGTTTTTAGGACCGACAGTTGTGCTCGTCTACTAAGCCGTATGCAGAGCTTCATGGAATTCGTGAATCCTGACGGGGTGTTTGTGTGCGAGGAATTGTAACATGTATTGCAACTTCGCAAGAGGCCAATTAGCAGTTGACGACGGTGGTTACCATAATTGATTTTCGACCTCAGGGGGCTCCCCAGCTCATGTTCCACGCCCTGAGAGTGGTCCTGATGTGGTAGCAAGTGTGATGGATGTGACTGCCAAAAGCAGGAACGAGTAGAATATCACGGTTCAGAGTGGTGCTTTTGATGTAAACAATCCACGCTCTACAATACCATAATTTGACAGTGATGTGCTTGACGGCGAGGCGAGACGGTGACCACAACAGGGTTGGAAACGAGTCAGGCCGCGCCTCGTCAGATCCGCCTCATTTCCACGAGTCAGAATCAAGGTGGAATAAAACGAATTGTTCAAGTACTGTACATTCAAAATAGAAACCACAACACATTTACATTTCAGTGGGGAGAGTACCTACATTCAGGTTCTCATTTCATGGATCACAAGAAGCTACATCCAGAATGCAACATGGTGAACGCTTGTATACTAGTGTTCAATGAAGACTTCTGAATTTCCTGTCATTGCCTATGTTCCTCTCGTTCCAACTCCCTTCTCACCTCCCGCTGCTCTCCACCAGGTACACCACTGCTGCAGTTGCTCCCATATGGCCAGCCCCTTCACCACGTGCTTGCTACAACTACAGCTCGTATTGCCTCTCCTGCCCCTGCCCCTCCTGCTCCTTCCCTACTCCCTGCTGCCCCTCCTGCTCCTTCCCTACACTCTGCTGCCCCTCCTGCTCCTTCCCTTCTCCCTGCTGCCCCTCCTGCTCCTTCTCACTCTGCTGTCGCTCCTGCTCCTTCCCCACTCCCTGTTCAACCGCAGGGCGGCAGCAACAGGGGCAGAGCGGATGGTCTCCATCACCAGACACGCCAACCCCTTGCTGATCTTTGTCTCCCTTGTCTCTAAACTCCTTCCATATGTACACCGCCACGACCACCAATAAAGCGGTGGCAACTACAAAGTTCGAATTCACTACTATGTATGTTGCAACGTACATCTTAAGACCCTTGCAGATAGAGTGAAAGAAAAAATTGGGTTTTAAAGCCAACAGATTTTTTAATGGGTTTCGTGCGCGCAGGCAGTTTGATGCGGCACTGCAACAGCGCGAGATGTAATGGGGGGGCATGGGCAGCGGGAAGGGGAGTGCAACACGCATTAGCAATGAGATGCTGCTCAAACTGGCAACCAAGGATGAGATGATAAAATGAGGGTCAAATCAGAGTCTGATGACACAGGCCAAAACAACAAGGAAATGGTATGAAGTATGGAAATAAACACAAGCGGAGGGACAAGCGAATAGCTGAGGGCAAAATGTCTGGATGGGGGTACATATGCTACACTTGAGAACCGGGCATGCAGATCAGTCAGCAGAAGAAACCAAGAAATTAAAGAACCAAGTACGACAACAGCCAGATGAAGTGGAAACATATCTGCAAAGAATCTGTTAAGGAGCACTCGTGAGCACAAAAAACGCGTTGAATGGGATTACCAGCGTATTATGTAACAGGGTGACTCACAGAGTGTCGTGCCAGAAGTTGGTTTCTCGGACTGAATGTATACCGAGGGTATGAAGCTGACAGCGCAAGGAGATTTCACCTCAGCGTGACACCTGGACGAAGCGAAGGCACGAGCGAGGTGAGCGAATAAATGTAAGGGGGGTAGAAGACAATGGGGAAGAAAGAGGAATGCGGGAACAGCTTGGATGATATATTGCACTGCCTGCGTCAGCAGGCAGTGCAATGAGTCAGCGGGCAAGAAAAAAAATAAAACCCACTCGGAAGGCATGCCACCCGAGGGAGCCTCAACCCTAAAATTTTAGGGTTGAGGCTCCCGAATGGCATGCAGGTCCGAATGGGTTTTATTTTTTTTGCCCGCGGTCAGAATGCTGACTCACTCGGTAGCGTCGTCTAGCGAAACGGTAGCGCTACCGAGCGCTACCGACGCTACCGAGTGAAATATATTGAGCAGTTAGTGGTGGGAGGTGGGGTGGGCAGCACTCACCTCTCAGACTTGGCCTTCACCACAACCGCCAAGTGAGAGTAGCGAGAAGATTAGGAGACCAGTGAGGCCGCGCGCGACAAACCTTGCCGACAGCCCTGAGAGCTCTGCAAAGAGTTTGGAATGATGGGGAGATAATAACGATCTCAGCAGCTGTGCCGGATATTAAAACGACTGAAGGTGCAAAAGAGATCCGCTTTTTGCAGCCAGAGGTGCTTCGCGTGACGAACGTGTATCGAGACGCACCATTTTCCGAATCTTGAGACGTTCTCCGCCTTGCGCGTTGCATTCACGGCATTGATGCATGCAAAGAACCAGAAAGGGAAGCTTCAAGTTTTATCGAAAGATTCCGAGGAGAAGGGGCGCACGCAGCGGCATGGCGAAACAGAGCATTCGCGTCGCTGCTCCTTGCCACGTGGCTGCACGAATGCAGTGATAACCGATGGCGCTTGGTAGCAGCAGCAAGCGCAATAGTTAAGATACTGTGGCGACACTTCTTCGCGAGCAAGGGAAGGAAAAATGGCTCCAATGCATGATGCTGCGGTTAGGTGCCAAACATGAAATGAACATAGTAACAGGTGGCGGAGGGGACTAGTATGAGTCGACTCAAAATGGCTTCAATGCATGACATGCTGCGGTTAGGGACCAAACATGACATGAAGCAGGTGCCCGAGGAACTACCATCTCTGACCTTAGAGAAAGCACGAGGGTAAGGCGTAGGGAAGGCGAGGAGCAAGCACGAGAGTAACGCGGAAGAAAGGCGAGGAGGAAGCACGGACAGAGATACTGTATCCATAGCCCAATGGGACATTCTTGTCACATCCATACTCGGTAGCGCGAGACCGTTTAGGCAACACGTAGGGCGTAAAAACTAGTGTACGTCGATACATATTGAACTTAAGAAGGGTTGAGTTTGAACATAATCTAGGTGTTAAAGGCCCTTAGCCCAAAGTTGTTCAACTCTACCAAGAATGAAATAAAAATACCACATTTTTATGACGCATGACTCATCTGAGGAAAACAATGACATAATATATTTTTTCAGCATTATCAAAACGGGTACGGTATATTGATTATGTTTTAAGAGCGTGTTCCTACGGCCTCATATCAGGCAACCTCGTATCAGATTCGCGTCGAACCGCACTAAAACGCATCCAACCGCAGTCGAACACAGTGAAACGTATTTCACCACGCGAAGCTGATACGAGGTGTTTCTGATACGAGGTGTAGGAACACGCTCTAAGGGGATCGACAGGAAAGTATAGACTACATTTCTGCTGCTGCTGCTGATCCTAGTGAGAGATCATCAGGTCAATGACATTCTCCTCCTGCTGCTGCTGCAGCTCCTTCCACACTCCCTGCTACCCCTCTGACACTGATGACTCTCCAACAGCAGCACGGCGCCGGTAGGGGCGGATGCTCTCCACTCCACCAGGTAAGCCAGCCCCTTCACCACGTGCTTGCGGCTGTACGGCTCGCCTGTCTGGGCCAGCGCTGCTGCTGCTGCTGCTTCTATTCTTGCCACTGCTAATACTACCACTACTGCTGCTGCTGCCGCTGCTCCTGCCCCTGCTGCTGCCCCTGCTGTTACTCCTGCTTCTCCTGCTGCTGCTGCTGCTGCCCCACCTGCTCAGATGAACTGACAGCAGGGCGCCGCCGGTAGGGCCGAATGCTCTCCACAAGGTAAGCCAGCCCCTTCACCACGTGCTTGCGGCTGTACGGCTCGCCTGTCTGGGCCAGCGCTGCTGCTGCTGCTGCTTCTATTCTTGCCACTGCTAATACTACCACTACTGCTGCTGCTGCCGCTGCTCCTGCCCCTGCTGCTGCCCCTGCTGTTACTCCTGCTTCTCCTGCTGCTGCTGCTGCCCCACCTGCTCAGATGAACTGACAGCAGGGCGCCGCCGGTAGGGCCGAATGCTCTCCACAAGGTAAGCCAGCCCCTTCACCACGTGCTTGCGGCTGTACGGCTCGCCTGTCTTGGCCAGCACTGCTGCCTCTGTTCTTGCCACTGCCATAACTACCCCTACTTCTGCTGCTGCTGCTGCTGCTCCTGCCCCTGCTGCTCCTCCTGCTTCTCCTCCTGCTGCTGCTCCTTTCCACCCCCCAGCTGTGTCTCTGAAGCGCGCCGCCGGTAGGGCCGAATGCTCTCCACCAGGTACGCCAGCCCCTACACCACGTGCTTGCTACCACTACTGCCGCTGCTGCTGCTCCTGCCCCTTGTCTACCCCAGCACCTCCAGCTCCTTGTCTACCCCCTGCTGCCCCTCCTGTGCGGATGTACTGACAGCAGCAGCAGGGGGCCGCCGGTAGGGCCGAATACTCTCCACCAGGTAAGCCAGCCCCTTCACCACGTGCTTGCGGCTGTACGGCTCGCCTGTCTTCCCCACCGCTGCTGCTACCACTACCCCTACTTCTGCTGCTCCTGCTCCTTTCCACCCTCCTGCTGCCCCTCTGACACTGCCACCTGTCCCTCTGAAGGGCGCCGCCGGTAGGGGCGGATGCTCTCCACCAGGTAAGCCAGCCCCTTCACCACGTGCTTGCGGCTGTACGGCTCGCCTGTCTTCGCCAGCGCTCTCCCCCGCCCGTCCAGCAGCACGTAGCACGGCACGTACTTGATGCTGTAGTGCCCCACCTGTTAGGTGCAAACGAGACAGTTTATGAAGGGGATGAAAGGCAAAAGACGATTGTACAGAAGGCTCTCCCTCGCGCGTCCAGCAGCACGTACCATGGCACGTACTTGATGCTGTAGTGCCCCACCTGTTAGATGCAAACGAGACAGTTTATGAAGGGGATGAAAGGCAAAAGACGATTGTACAGAAGGCTCTCCCTCGCGCGTCCAGCAGCACGTACCATGGCACGTACTTGATGCTGTAGTACCCCACCTGTTTGGGCAGGCACACACATGAATGATTAAACAGGGGTGGAGAGCAGAAGCAGAAGACACTTGCGCGTCCGTCCAGCAGCACGTACCATGGCACGTACTTGATGCTGTAGTGCCCCACCTTCACACACAAACAGGGAGAGAGGTTAATATCGGGGATGAACTATTAGGGGACAACAGAAGCAAGCGGCTCTCCTTTGCGCGTCCAGCAGCACATAGCAGGGCACGTACTTGATGCTGTAGTGCCCCACCTGTAAATCATACAAAAACAGGGAGGTGTTTAAAGAGGATAAGGCATGAGAAGGATCAGGAGACCCCCTTCCTCCCCCGCGCGTCCAGCAGCGCGTAGCCCGGCACATACTTGATGCTGTAGTGCCCCACCTGGAAATGCAAACGGGTAGGTTTATAAAGGGGATGAAAAACAAATGATGATCGTACAGAAGGCTCTTCCCCGCCCGTCAAGCAGCACGTAGCACGGCACGTACTTGATGCTGGCTGTAGTGCCCCACCGTCACACACAAACAGGGAGGGTTGTGACGGGGATACTAAGTATAAGGAGACAGCAGAAGCAAGAGGCTCTCCCCCCCCCCCCCCCCCCCCCGGTCCAGCAGCACGTAGCACGGCACGTACTTCATGCTGTAGTGCCCCATCCACCTACCTCCATACCCTAACCCAAACCCCAACCTCCGAAACCCGAAACCCCCACCGCCAAACCCTAAACCCCCTAACATCAAGCAGCTATCTGCCGTTCTTCCGCCCAACCTTACTCAAATTCCAACATTGAACCCCAAACCCGAAACCCCCATACCTCAGGCAGCCATCGGCTGTTCTCCACGTCAGCAGGCACCACGTTGAGCCAGTCAGCGTTGCGTCGCGCCAGCTCAGCGGTGAGCTGGCTGAGCGACCGGCAGAGGCGGCAGCGGCGGGCGTAAAACTGGATAAGGGTAGCTCGTTTGCCGCTGGCCAGAGCTGCTGCTAGCTGCCTCTCCTCCGCATCAGGGAACTGGTGGGGGAATCCGTTGGATGGACAGAGAGAGAGAAAGCAGTTAGCCATACAGCAAAGGCGGGCGTAGAACTGAACTGAATAAGCGTGGCTGCCTTGCTGGCCAGGGCTGCTGCTAGCTGCCTCTCCTCCGCGTCAGGGAACTGGCAGGGAGGGAGCGGGCAGGGAGAGAGAATACAGTTAGCAGCTATACAGCAGAGGCGACAGCAGCGCACGTAGAACTGGATGAGCGTGGCTCGTTTGCTGCCAGCTAGCGCTGCTGCCGGATGCCTCTCCTCCGCGTCACGCCACTGGCACGGGGGGGCAGAGGAGGGAGCGGACGAGGAAGAAAAAGGTCAAGACTCATGGGAAGAGAACTGGCTGAGGGAGGGACAAGCAGAGGTGGCAGCAGCGCGCGTAGAACTGGATGAGCGTGGTTCGTTTGCCGCTGGCTACGGCTGCTGCCGGATGCCTCTCCTCCGCGTCACGCCACTGGCAGAAGTGGGGGAGGAGAACAGATAAACCAGACAGAGCGAGACACTATACACTCAAAAACCGGCAGAGGCGGCGGCAGCGGGCGTGAAACTGGATAAGAGTGGCACGCTTGCCGCTGGCTAGGGCTGCCGCTAGCTGCATCTCCTCCGCATCAGCCCGCTGGTGGGAAAAAGGGGGGTTGGGGGGAACATAAAGCAGTGGTGGCAGTGGCGGGCGTGAAACTGGATAAGAGTGGCTCGCTTGCCGCTGGCTAGGGCTGCTGCCAGCTAGGGCTGCTAGCCAGCTAGGGCTGCTAGCCAGCTAGGGCTGCTAGCCAGCTAGGGCTGCTAGCCAGCTAGTCTCACTCACCCTGCGCAAGAGAGAGGGTAGGCTTTTGAGGCGACTCAAAAGTCACCTAGTGCCGCCCAATCACCTGCGAAAGAGAGGCTAGGCTGCTGCTCGGCTTGCCCGTACCAGCAGGTTTTGAGAAATCTAAAAACTCAAAAGTCACCTAGTAGTGCCACTCACTCACCTGCGAAAGAGACGGTAGGCTGCTGCTCGGAGGGGGTGGCAAGGAAGGGAACGGTCAGAAAATACAGGTAGGCATGCATACCCACTCACCTGCGAAAGAGAGGCTAGGCTGCTGCTCTGCTTGCCCGCACCAGCACCATCTGTTCCTGTTCCAGCGCCGCTGACGTCATCTTTCCTCCCCTTCCATAGACCCTTCACTGCTCGCCCGAGCTCCGCCACCTTCCTCGAAGCTTCCCTCAGCGGCATCTGCCAGGGTGGCGCGGCGCTAGAGTCGGCGTCGCCGGCTCCTCGTCCAGCCGAGCCGCTGCTTCCAGCTCCGCCCACGTCAGCCGCACCGCCATTCCGCCATTCGCGGTCCGGAGATTCGCTCTTCGTAAGTTCTTCAGTTCTCGAAGTAGCTACTGCAGCGGGAGGGGGTTCTATACGCGCTAACGGCAGACGCGATGAAAAAGAAGCACGTATCACTCCCACGCGCCCTGCTGCTGTCGGCGCTATACGCGTTACGATGCCACCGTCCCCAGATGTGGCCTCTAGCGCCGCCGCATACCTTCCGCCTTCCGCCACCCTTCCGATGCTCTCCGCCGCAGTTCTGGAAGGCGGAACGAAGCTTCGGATCCGATCTTGAAACCCCTTCCCCCACCCTTCCACGATCTCATTCATAGTCCCTTTTCCCCGCGCTTTCCCCCATTGATCCGCAACGTTCCGATCTAGAAAGTCTTTCCCGAACCGCACGGTGATATTCCGATCTATAATCTCTTTTCCCCACCGCTCCACGTTCCCCGCGCCGTCGTTCAAGATCGCCGCCAAATTTCGCGGATTCGATTCGGAGGGCGACTCCTGGCCCGCCGTGTTCCGCGGAGCCATGGCGCAAGCTACCAGCGGACATGCGTTGAACGTTGCTTTTTCTCAAACTCGGTCCTCAAACGCACCCGAAATTCGTAACTGTTTTGGCTAGAAACTGCCCAGAAGTACTTTTGGCTAGAAACAGCACTCATGCGGTAGCTAATCCGACACTCCTTAGCCGTGAGACCAGCCGCAGAGCTATCTTCAGAAATCGAAACGCGAATCTCGCTCGAATATTACGGACTACTACAGGCTCGTCTGATAGGGTCGAACCAGTTCGGATGCATTTTCAGGGAACAGAAAACAGGCTATTCCCAACGTAGAGATCGATTTTTTTTTTCCAAATCACATTCGACTCGCACGTTTCTGTGTGCAATCACGAAACATAAGGGTAACGTCGCAACACCAGGTTGGCGACTTCAATCAATCCCCAAGCGACAAGCAATGAAATATACGCGAAATGATTCGCGTATCGCTTACGAAAGACCAGCTTTCGTCAGGCCTCATAACACCAGCCAAAGGGCGTTCTGTGTCAATTGAGGCACGAACCTGCGTTCGTTGCACAATTTTGCGAACAGAAAACAGAAGAATCGGACCAGAGAAGGAACGGCGAAGCAGCTTTTAGGGTTTCCGGGTTTCACGGATTAGGAGCCCCTTTCGGCTTGGGCCTCTCCCGTGTGACTGGTAGCTTGCGTCTAGGCGGGTCTCGCAGCGCGTTGTAAAACAAATGCGCAGATTTAGGTTTGCCTACTGATTAACGCCACAGCAACCGAGAGTGTTGTACTGCTGACGTGGTCCGTTCCGCAACAATTATGGCCACGTGGGTGGCCGCGTGTATAATTGTAGAAGCAAGAGTGCCACTTCCAGAACTTTTCGCGGCTACGTGTTGTGGAAGGTTTTATTAACCTTAATATCCGCTTTCGTAGTGATCATAGTGATATTAGATTCAATGGAAGCAGCAAGCATGCGGAATCGCTCTTCCTCGTCTCGCGGCGACAACAGCGAGTAAACACGGGATTCAACAATCAGCACAATTCGCCAAATATCAAAAGTTGCACTTCTCTAGTTACCAGGTTACAAACCGGAAAATACGCCTCGCAATGGAGGCTGCAGGCACGCGCAACCGCTCCTCCGCGCGTCACGGCGCGGCGGTCGCGTTCAGCGGAAGCGTGCGGCGATGGCGCAAGCAGTGGGCCGCCGTGGGGCCCACGCGCCGCCTGCTCGTCCTGAGATGGACGCCGCAACCCCCGCGCCCAACAGGTACTTGCAAAGGTATTAGGTGTGTTCTTCCCCCATGCCACAGGCAGCGGAAGCGAGTTGACTTTTGAGTCGACTCAAAAGTCAACCCCCGCGCCCAACAGGTACTTGCAAAGGTATTAGGTGTGTTCTTCCCCCATGCCACAGGCAGCGGAAGGGTGCGCCGATGGCGGAAGCAGTGGTGCGCCGTGGGGCCCACCTGCCGCCTGCTTGTCCTCCGGTGGTCGCCGCAGCCCCTGCGCCCAACAGGTATGCGCGCTTGGCTTGCTGGTGCTCCGATGGGTGGGTGCTCAGGTATGCGCACCCACCCGCCGCTTGCTGGTGCTGAGGTGGACGCCGCAGCCCCTGCGCCCAACAGGTATGCGCGCTTGGCTTGCTGGTGCTCCTCACATGGGCTTCTAGAAGCAGTGGACTGCCGTGGGGAAGCAACCACGCGCCGCCTGCTCGTCCTGAGATGGACGCCTCAGCCCCCCCCCCTCGCCCAACAGGTATGCCAGCGCTCCAAGCAACACCAACAGCAGTGCACCGCGGTGGGGCAGAACAGAACCCACCCGCCGCCTGCTCGTCCTGCGAGGTGACTTTTGAGTCGACTCAAAAGTCACCTCGTTACAATGGCACACGACAATTTTTCTACACGGAGAGAGCACCGCTGTGGGGCAGAACAGAACCCACGCGCCGCCTGCTCGTCCGGCGGTGGACGCCCGCCGCAACCCCCCCGCCCAACAGGTACATGTTATGATTCACATCACAGCACAATGTTTCCACTGACCTGACCTTTCAGTGTGTATGATATTTTTAGTTTTGAGACGTCTCAAAACAGGTACGTGTTATGTTTCAGAGCACAATTCTCAAAAGCGATTTCCATGTGACCTTCCAGTGTGCATGGTGGTACCGTACATGCTCTGGGCTCGAGGTGACTTTTGAGCATTACCTTCCAGTGTGCATTACCGTAAATGTCACCATGTGACCTTCCAGTGTGCATTACCGTAAAAGTCACCATGTGACCTTCCAATGTGCATGGTACTGTGCATGCTCTGGGCTCGCTTGTTGCAAGACTTTTGGCATGCTGAACTTGACATGACCCGACTCGAATCAGGTACGTGTTATCACCTTCCAGCACAATGGTCTACTGGTTTGCGACCTTCCAGTGTGCATGATACTGTACATGCTCTGGGCTCACTTGTTGCAAGACTTTTTGCACGCTTAACCCTAAACCCTGAGCAATGGGTTGTTCATGTCCATCCTAAACGTTCTATTTTCAACCTTCAATAGCAGGTGTGAGCTCTTTTGAGTCGACTCAAAGTCAACAGTGAACCCTGTGTAATGGGTAGTTCGAGTCCATCCTAAACGCTCTATTTTCAATCTTCAATAGCAGGAGTGAGCTTACACAAGTGAATTCTCCTCAACCTTCTTGTTTGCCCTTCTTGCCTTTGCACAATCCCCGTTTGTGCCCGTCCCCACATTTTGCGGTCGATCACAACCCTCCACTCAGATTCAAACTGTCTCGCCATTCGCCGAAAACCAAAATACATTCCGGTAAGAAAATGTGTTCATGAATCTTCTTGCATAAACTGTCCTTCATGCATCTCCCGTACAATTGCCTTCGTAAGTTTGTTTTGTTTTGTTTTGTTTTGTTTTGTTTTTTTTTCGGTTTCAATTTTCTTGTGCATCTTCTTACCCCATACCACAACTTTTTTTCCCAACACCACCTCTCTTTCCACAGGAGGTTCGGTTGCTTGCCTTGCAGTCGCCTGGGGGAGGGCCAAGAGGGGAAGCAAGTGGAGCAGCAACGAGTTTGGGGCTTGGAGGTGCAGTGAAGGTCGCAACACAGGGACTCGGGCACGGGGTTGGGGGTACTGGTGGGGGCGTAGGCATGCGTGGGGGAGGGGATGGGGATGGGGAGGAGAATGAGGAGGAGGAGGGTGGAGAGGGGGCGAGTATGGCGATAGATGTTGAGAAAGGGGAGGGAGAGGGAGTGGGGAAGGGGGGAGAGGGAGGAGAGGAGGAAGAGGAGGTGGAGGAGGAGGAAGAGGAGGAGGAGCAGGAGGAGGAGGAAGGAGGACAGGAAGGGGAGGAGGAGGTGGGGGGCGAGGAGGAGGAGGAAGAGGGAGGGGAGGGTGAGGAACAGGAAGGGGAAGAAGAGGAGGGGGGAGAGGAGGAGGAAGAGGAGGAGGAGGAAGAGGTAGTGGGTGTGGAGGGTTCAACTCCCATGATTGAGGATACAGAAGCTGAAGAGGAGGCAGAGGAGGTTGAGGAGGAGGGAGATGAGGGGGAGGAGGGAGATGATGGGGATGAGGGAGACGATGGGGAGGAGGGAGAGGAGGAAGATGGGGGAGAGGAGGGGAATGAGGGTGAGGGAGCGGAAGGGGGGTTGGAAGGAGAGGGAAGAGGGGATGGAGAGGGAAGAGGGGATGGAGAGGGAAGAGGGGATGGAGAGGGAAGAGGGGATGGAGAAGAGGAAGAGGAGGAGGAAGAGGAGGTAGAGGAGGAAGAGGAGGGGAATGCACAGAAGGGCGGGGAGGAAGACGAGGAGGGAGGGGATGAAGGAGATGAGGAGGAGGAGGAAGAAGAGGGAGGAGGGATGGAGGAGGAAGAGGAGGAGATAGAGGAGCAAGAGGAGGAGATAGAGGAGCAAATAGGTGATGATGGGATTGGGCAGGCTCAAGAGGTTGGAAATGATGAGTATGAGGGGGAGGAGGGTGGGGACCAAGAGGAGGAAGGGGACGGAGAGGAGGAGGAGGAAGAGGAGGTGGGAGAGGGAGAGGAGGAAGAGGGAGAAGGGGGGGAGGAAGAGGGAGCAGGGGGTGAGGAGGAAGACGGGGAGGGAGAAGGGGAGGGAGAGGAGGGAGATGAGGAGGGAGATGAGGAGGGAGATGAGGAGGGAGATGAGGAGGGAGATGAGGAGGGAGATGAGGAGGGAGATGAGGAGGGAGATGAGGAGGGGGAGTGAGAGTAGTAAGGGCATGCGCAAGGAGGTGACTCAAAAGGGAGAAGGGGAATGAGAGGAGGAAGGGTATGTGCAAGGAGGGGCAGCAAATATCAATGAGGATGGTGACATGGATGGATGGTGACATGGATGGATGGTGACATGGATGGTGACATGGATGGATGGTGAGATGGATGGATGGTGACATGGATGGATGGTGACATGGATGGATGGTGACATGGATGGTGACATGGATGGTGATGGTGATGATGGTGATGAAGAGCAGGTAACAGGGTAACGTGTGATTGATCGGAGGAGCAGCAGGAGGAGGCATGCACCAAGCAGCATCAAGTCGCGCGTTTTATCCTCCGATACGGTCAACATCATCACCATCACCAAGCAGCATCGGATACGGTCAACATATTTGGAGAATTCTGACTTTTGAGATGTCTCAAAAGTGCATCAAGTCGCTCGTTTTATCCTCGGATACGGTCAACATCAGCACCATCACCAAGCAGCATCGGATGCTTCGATACAGGAAGTTCTAAGCCTGCATCCAGCAGGATGGTCAACATCCCTCGACAAAACTTGAGGGATCTCGACATGTGTCAATCGTTGGATGCCAATCCGAGGGCTGAAATTCATCGACATCCCTCGACATTCCTCAGATTGGGTTCTGAGGTTGGATTTCGGGTTCAGGTTTGGGGGCTGGTTGGGGCAGGCCCCAAAGATGATTAGTCAGGTTGACCTGTAAAAGATCAACAGAGCCAATGCCTTGGCTTTCTCTTGTTGCCTTAGTGCTTATTGCAGTATGGTTGTTTGTTCTGATTGACCGACATAGTGACTAACCTGGCATATTTCTTGCTCTATACTGTTCGGGATGGCAATCAGGAGCGCACCGTTTTCCACACTAATAAGTCAAAAAACACAACACAAATGTTAGTTCCAATACCCCATGTTTCGAGCGCCACCACCACCACCTTGGGCCATCTCAGCCGTCCGTTGCGGGGCCTGCAATCTGGACCGTCGCTGCACAGCCCGCTCCTGAAGCTCCATCTTAGACGCAATCAACGACTCTCAATCCCTCTGCTGCCCAAACACCTGATCTGGGCCGTTGATACCACCACCCTCTCTCCCCATGCCCATCCCATCTCTATACCCCCCTCCACCGCCCCCACCTCTCTCTCTATCTCCTAACCCTGCTGCCGAAGCTGCGGCTTTGGCTCGGCGCCGCTCGGCCCGTTCCTCCTCCCGAACCATCTCGGCTCGGCCTGCCATAGCTGCAGCTCCGGCAGAAGTGGCTGCTAGTGCTCTCTGCGACGCTGCTGCTGCTGCAGCCGCTGCCGCTGCAGCTGCTGCTGCTGCTGAAACCGCTTGCCCTGCAGCCATCCTAGGAGGGGACCCTCCTTGATACCCCCCTCTCCCCCCATCCCCTTCTCCCCCTCCTCCCATCCCTCCTCCCATCCCTCCTCCCATCCCACCTCCCATCCCTCCTCCCATCCCTCCTCCCATCCCTCCTCCCATACCTCCTCCCATACCTCTCCTGTCAAGGTCCCTGCCCTTAGCTGATGAAGTGGTTCGGGATGTATGGCTTTCACTCCACTTACCCCCACCCCCACTCGCCCCAGCTCTGGGATACGGGCTCTGCCCATACCTACTCACAAACCCCCCATCTCTCAGATTCACCCCCCCCAGTCCCGCCCCCACACTCCCTTTCAGCATAGACGAAGTGACAGACCCTCCACCCTCTCTCGAGCTCCCCCCGATCATGCTCTGCCCGATCCCTGAGCCTTCGCGGCCCATTCCCGGACCTCCGCCGAACCTGCCGCGGCTCCGGGCGTTTGTGCTCTCGCTCTCACTGTAGCTCTCCTCGCCGAACCTGCTCTCGCTGGTAACCGCACCGGCCAGGAACTCCGGGCGACGCTGAGGGGCGACTCGAGCTGCTACAGTGCCCCGCACCCCTCCTCCTCCTCCTGCTCCTGCTGCTGCCGCTCCTCCTGCTGCTCCTTCCATTCCTCCTCTTCCTCTGTCCCCTGCCCCCCCCATTCCTTGAAATTCACTTCGCAATTGCCCTCCTGCTCCTCCTCCTCCTAAACCTAGTGCTGCTAGAGAGGTTGCATTACCCATCCCTCCTACTCCCAATGCTCCTGTTCTCATTCCCATTCCTGCTGCTCCCATCCCTCCTGCTCCCAAGCCTGCTGCTCCCAAACCTGCCACTCCCATCCCTGCTGTTCCCAGACCTGCTGCTCCCATACCAGCCATTCCCATTCCTCCTCGATTCATCAAACCTCCTCCCAAACCCCCAACACCAGCACCACTAAGTGCACCACCACTTAACCCCATACCTCCCATGCCGCCAGCACTTAACCCCATAGCCCCCACACCACCAGCACTTAACCCCGCGCCACCAGCCATACCTCCCCCTAAATTCCTCCCCAACCCTCCTGCTGCCAACAATTGCTGTTGCTGTTGCTGCAGCTGCTGCCGCTGCTGCTGCAGCTGCTGTTGTTGCTGCAGCTGCTGTTGCTGCTGCTGCCGCGCTTGCATCTGAGCGTGTGTCTGAGCTAGTAGCATCTGCTGCTGCTGAATCAGGTACTGAAGCTGCTGCGCCTGAGAGGCCCCTGCAGGGGGAGGAGGGACCGCATTCCCTCCTGAAATTCCACCTGAAATACCACCTGGTGCTCCTCCTGCCATCCCACCTGCTGCCTGACCGGCAAACCCACCTCCTCCTAATCCACCTCCTCCTAATCCACCTGTCCCAATACCGTTCGCCCTTCCACCACCAATACCACCGAAGCCACCACCACCATCACCATTAACATCCAAACCACCAGCACCAGCACCACCACCACCACGACCAGCAGCACCAGCACCAGCACCGGCAACACCAGCAGCAGAACCAGCAGCATTGCCACCTGTTCCCACGTTTTGCCTCAGAAAAGCACCACCATTACCCGCTACAGTGGCACTCGCTATAGGCCTCCTCCTTCCTGCAGCCACAGCAGCAGCAGCTGCTGCAGCAGCGGTGGGAGGGAGTGTTGCCCCTGCTCTTGCGCCTGGTCTTGCCCCTGGGTGCATGCTGCTGCTGCTGGTGCTGCCAACTCCAAACCCTGCTGCTCCTCCCATTTCTCCTCCTGTCCCTCCTCCCATTCCTGCTCCCATCCCCGCTCCCATCCCACCTCCCACCCCTCCTCCTCCCATCCCTCCCATCCCTCCCATCCCTCCTCCTGCCAACCCTGCTCCTGCTCCTCCCAATCCGCCATAGTTACTCAACAACTGCTGCTGCTGCTGCTGCTGCTGTTGCTGCTGGTGCTGCTGCTGTAGCTGCTGCTGCAGCTGCTGCAACTGCTGGAAGGACGAACCCCCAAGTCCACCCATCCCACCTGTCCCACCCAATCCTCCCCCCATTCTTCCTCCCACTCCTCCCAAACCACCTGCCAAACCTCCTCCCATACCTCCTCCGAAGCCTCCTGCCAAACCTCCGCCCAGGCCTCCTGCCCCTCCCACTCCCCCAACACCCGCCCCACCACCCAAGGCTGCATTATAAGCGCCTCCGTTATAAGCCAAATTCCCTCCTAAAAGCCTCCCTCCTTGAGCCGAATTCCTCTGCAGGTTAGAAAACGACGACAGGGAGCTCCCCCCTATAGACCCCGGCCCTCCCATTCCTGCACCCGTACCCCTATACGAGTAAGGGTTATTACCCAAATTATACCCTGTGCCAGCTGCTCCTGCAGGGTTACTACCCCCTGTTAAACCGCCTAACCCAGTTCCACCTACCCCAGTATTACCTGCAGCACGGGCAGTTAGATAGCGCAGGGCTGCTATATTCGCAGCTGTTGCTCCTGTCAGCCCCCCTGCTCCTACTCCTCCTAGCCCTCCTCCTCCTGCTAACCCTCCTGCTGCTAATCCTGCACCTCCCACCCCTCCTCCCATCCCTCTCAACCCTCCCATCCCTCCTCCCATTCCTCCTCCCATCCCTCCTCCCATTCCTCCTCCCATCCCGCCTCCACCTCCTCCCATCCCCCCTCCCCCCGGCGCAGTCCCCCCTCTCAGAGTAACCACTCTCTGCGCATGAAAATCAGTCGTTCCCGTACCTGTTTCCGAATCTAGATCCGACCCAGTCCCGGTCTCAGACCCAGTCTCCGAACCTGTCCCAGTGCTGCTCGTGCCCGTTGCCGTGCCCATGCCTCCTCGCCCTTCCCTCCCTGTCCCTCCAGTTGTTTTCGAATAGATAGAAAGCTCATCCCCAGAAGACCTTCCAGAGATGTATGAAGACTCAGCAATAGACCGATTCCGGGAGAACCCCCCTCCTGCACCCCCACCCCCACCACCACCGTTACCAGCACCAGCACGAGCAGCAGCAGTTGCTGCTGCCGCTACTGCCGCTGCCGCGGCCGCAGCAGCCGTGGTGGGAGGCAGACCCGCATTCAAAAAGTACCTGTTATACGCCTCCCTCATAGCCGATTCCCTTGCTGCTGCCTCCTCTCTAGACATGCCCCTCCCCCTGCCACCCCTCGTCGTCCCAGTCACACCAGTCACTCCCGATGTTCCTGTAACACCTGTAACACCCGTAACACCGGTAACACCTGTGGCACGACTATACCCCCCCACGCTACTAGCCGCGCCCCCATACACGCTCTCCGCGCCCCCATACACACTCCCTGTCCCCCCATACACACTCCCTGCTCCCCCATACACGCTCCTATCCTCCCTCCCATCGTAAAACATCGACGTTCGGAAGCTTCTGGTAGTTCCAGGGGTTCTAGCCACACTCGCACCCCCGGGGGTTCTGGCCGTGCTCGCCCCTCCTGGAGTCCTGGCACCACGCCGTACCGCTGCAGATCTAGGCGAGTAAACAGTCGACTCGTAATCATCATACTCCCCATCATAATCATCATCAAATTCCCCCTCTTCTCCTTGATAATCCTCCTCATCCCCTGTGTAAGTCATGCTCCCACTCGCCGACCCCGATCCGCTGTAGCTGCTCGGCCGGGCGGGCACTACGAGACGCTGAACGCTGCCTGAGAGCTTGGACGGGGCTGGAAAGCCAGGGGCGGCGGCTTGTGGGGGGATACCTGCTAGGAGCGCTGCTACCCCGCTCCCCATGGATAATAACCCTCCTGGTGCGCCCGAAGGGGGGTTAGATTGCCCAATTCCCCCTCTCCCAACTCCTCCACCCCCACCACTCCCAGCTCCTTGCAGCAATCGTGACCCGGGGAGTTCTATAAACTCCCCGATCGCCTCCTTCAGCTTTGGAAACTGCACCGGCTTCCCCAGGAACCCGTCCATCCCCACCGCATAGCACCGCTCTTCATCCTCCTTAAGAGCGTTTGCAGTAACGGCTATGATGGGGAGGCGGGGCAGGGCCCCTCGGCGTGAGGAGAGGGGGAGGTTGGAGGGCGGTTGCCACGTCAGCCCAGATTTCTCATCCCCTGCCGGCGCGCCCCTGTGCTTTGCTCGCTCCACGTCTTCCTCTGGGAACACGCCCGTGCGCTCATACTGCCGGATTAGGTAGGCTGCCTGTCGGGTTTGGGTTGAGGATAGACAGGGCAAGCGGTGGGAGTGGGAGGAGAGGGGGAGGTTGGAGGGGGGTTGCCAGGCTATTCCGGATTTCTCATCCCCTGCTGGCGCTCCTCTATGCTTTGCTCGCTCCACCTCCTCCTCTGGAAACACCCCCGTGCGCTCGTACTGGCGAATCAGGTAGGCCGCCTGTGGTTGGGGTGTGGTGTGGTGTGGGAAGGGAAGGGCAAACAAGTCAGCCTAACTAGCCTCGCTCCACCACCTCCTCTGGAAACACCCCCGTGCGCTCGTACTGCCGGATCAGGTAGGCTGCCTGTGGTTGGGGTAGAGATGAACGGGACGGATTGAAAGACAGACAGGAAGGCAGATAGCATTTGGCACAGGTGGCACGGCGTGAATGAAACAGGCAAGCAGAAGGTGGGAGGGGGAGGAGAGGGGGAGGAGAGGGGGAGGTTGGAGGGCGGTTGCCAGGTCAGCCCGGATTTCTCATCCCCTGCCGGCGCTCCCCTGTGCTTTGCTCGCTCCACCTCCTCCTCTGGAAACACTCCTGTGCGCCCATACTGCCGAATCAGATAGTCCACCTGTGGTTGGGGTGTGGTGCGGTGTGAATTGGGTATGGGTTGGAATGAGGCAGGGGCAAGCAAGTCAGCCCAACCAGGCTCGCTCCCCTCTGCTTCGCTCACTCCACCTCCTCCTCTGGAAACACCCCCGTGCGCTCATACTGCCGAATCAGGTAGGCCGCCTGTGGTTGGGTTGGGGTGTGGTGTGGGATGGGTAAGCAGGGGCAAACAAGTCAGCCTAAGTAGGCTCGCTCCACCTCCTCCTTTGGAAACAGCCCCGTGCGCTCACACTTGTTTTTTCACTGTTGTTCCTTTGCTTAAGCGTTTTTCAAGTACTGCAGCCCTTCGAACAATGAGTCAAGGTGAAACAGCCCCGTGCGCTCATACTGCCGAATCAGGTAGGCCACCTGTGGTTGGGGTTGGGGTATGGGTTTAACAAACTTAGAAAGAGTCAAGAAGATTGAAACAGGGAGTCAACGAGGGAGTCAACCAGAGTCAACAAGAGTCAACAAGAGTCAACAAGAGTCAACGCCTACCTGCAGGCCATCCATGAGCGGCATGCAGAGATCCGACAGCAGCAGGTCAAACTGCTCCCCCCTCACCGCCTCTACCTCAATCAATGTGAGCCAGTTTTGTGTAACAGGCTTAGAAAGAGTCAAACAGAGTCAACCAGAGTCAACCAGAGTCAACGAGAGTCAACCAGAGTCAACCAGAGTCAACCAGAGTCAACAAGAGTCAACCAGAGTCAACCAGAGTCAACGCCTACCTGCAGCCCATCTATGAGTGGCATGCAGAGGTCCGACAGCAGCAGGTCAAAGCGCTCTCACACTTACTACCCGTGCCTTTGACAGCCGTAACACTGAGCCAGCCTTGTTAGAGAGAGTCAGCAAGGTAGTCAACAAGAGTCAACGAGAGTCAACGCCTACCTGCAGCCCATCCATGAGCGGCATGCAGAGGTCTGACAGCAGCAGGTCAAAGCGCTCCCTCCTCACTCACTGCCTCTCCTCTGATAGCTGTCACTCTGAGCCAACCTTGTATAACAGGCTTAGTAAGAGTCAACCACAGTCAACCGGAGTCAACCAGAGTCAATGAAAGTCAACGCCTACCTGCAGCCCATCCATGAGCGGCATGCAGAGGTCCGACAGCAGCAGGTCGAACCGCTCCCTCCTCACCGCTTCCAACGCCTCCACACCGTTCTTGGCCACTGTGGCTCGCAGCCCCAGGCGCTTGAGCATGGAGAGCAGCACCATCACGTTCACCTGCAGGGAGATCGAAGGGGACATGGTGTGGCGGGAAGGGGTAGGGGAGTTGGGGGTCATGGGGAGGCATAGAGAACAGCACTACCGCATGCACCATGGCTCGCAGCCCCAGGCGCTTGAGCATGGAGAGCAGCACCATCACGTTGACCTGGGGCTCAAAAAAAGGGGAGAGCAGAGCAACATGTAAAGGGCGAAGAGTTTGAGCATGAGTGGAGAGGAGAGCAGAAGCAGGTCCCTGGATGGGTCTGCCTCGTTCTTGGCCACTGTGGCTCGCAGCCCCAGGCGCTTGAGCAGGGAGAGCAGCACCATCACGTTGACCTAGGGACCAAGGGAAAGGAGGGTGGGGCAGGCAGGGAAAACAGGTGAGTCAAGCCTCGCCTCACAGCAGCAGACCAAACGGCTTCATCCATCCACACGCCGCTCTTGGTCACTGTGTGTGGCTCGCAGCCCCAGGCGCTTGAGCAGGGAGAGCAGCACCATCACGTTGACCTAGGGGCCAAGGGAAAGGAGGGTGGGGCAGGCAGGGAAAACAGGTGAGTCAAGCCTCGCCTCACAGCAGCAGACCAAACGGCTTCATCCATCCACACGCCGCTCTTGGTCACTGTGTGTGGCTCGCAGCCCCAGGCGCTTGAGCAGGGAGAGCAGCACCATCACGTTCACCAACAGGCACAGGGGGGGAACAGTAAGGAGGTAAGAGGGAGGTAAGAGGGAGGTAAAGCTACTTCAGGCATTAGGATCCTGGCCTCTGGTCCTTTCGCCAATGGCGCGGACAGACACGGCAGATAGCATCTCTCGGCTCTACCTCCCCAGTCGCCCCAGGCATACCCCACCCAACAACGCTCCATCTCACCCCACCCCACCCCACCCCACCGCAACACTCACGGGGTTGTCCACCAAGATTTTCGTCTCTGGGCCTTTGGCCGAGGCGGGGGACAGAGACGGCAGCGACCCAGCCCATATACACAACCCACCCCACCACACCCCACTCCACCCCACCCCACCCCACCCCACCCCACCCCACCCCACCGCAACACTCACGGGGTTGTCTTCAGCCACCAAGATTTTCGTCTCTGGGCCTTTGGCCGAGGCGGGGGACAGAGACGGCCGCACTCAGCTTCTTCCTCCCAGTCCCCCAATAAACACCCCACGGGCTCAGCTCACCCCACCCAACAACACCCCACCCCACCCCACCCAACAGCACCGCACCCCACGCCACCGCAACACTCACGGGGTTGTCTTCAGCCACCAAGATTTTCGTCTCTGGGCCTTTGGCCGATGCAGGAGACAGAGAAGGCAGCGACCCAGCACCTGCCATGGCGCCCGCCCCAGATGCACCTCCCCCAGATAGCCCCTCCCCTGACCCCCCCACCTCCCCTTTCATCGCCTTGGCTCGGGCTAGCAGCCCCGCCAACCCCCCTCCCACCACCCCTGCTCCCACCCCCGCTGCTCCTGCTCCTGCTCCTCCTCCTCCTGCTGCTGCTCCCCGTGGTTGACGCAAGTGCTTGGGTGTGATGGCAATCGGCGAATCATCCGTATATTCACTCTCATAATCCTCCTCCTCTTCCTCCCCCTCCTCATCTTCGGTATACTCCTCCTCGCCCTCCCCCATTCCTCCCCTCACCTGCCCCATATGCTCCCTCACAGGCGACAACGCCCGAGCCACCGACCCAGGCGAAGGCCCCGACACAGACACACTCTTGGGAAACCCAAACGGCGCGTTCACAGCCGCAGCAATCGCGCTCGCACCCGTGGGCGACGCGGGGCGGGAGCGGGGAGTAGTACGCTGGCAGCACACGGAGAACGCAAACACCGACCCCGTCCCGACCTTCGATTTAATCGCCATCTTCCCATGCATTAACTCTACTAACTGTTTACAGATAGACAAGCCTAGCCCTGTGCCTCCGTAGGCTCTCGTCGGCCCGCCTTCCACTTGAGTGAATTTCTCAAAGAGGAGCGGGAAGGCGTCTTTAGGGATCCCCACGCCTGTGTCGTGCACCTCGCACCACAACCACACGTCCATATCCCCGCCGATCTGCCTTTCTGCCGCTGCCGCCGCTTTCCCCTTCCCCTTCTCGGCCCCTGCTGGTACGATCGAGCCCCAGAATCCTCCTCCTGCCCCTCCCCCTCCAGGTCTCAGCATCCCTCCTTCCTCCTCCCCTCTCGTCCTCTCGCTATCCCCATCCTCCTCCTCCTCTTCCTCCTCTCCATACTCCTCAGTCGGAAGCTCAGCCAGTAGCGGCGCTGCCTGCTCCAAACTCCCCAAACTTGCCAATTTCTTCAAATGCTCCTCCGTAACATCGGACAACAGCGGTAACCGCCCGCTTCCCCCTGCCCTCGCGCCCTTATTATGACTGTGCATTTCCACAGCCAGCCCTTTCCCCCGGCCTAGAGTAGCAGCAGCTCCAGACCCTCCTGCCCCTCCTCCTCCTCCTGCTCCTCCACCTCCGGCAACGTTCCACCCCCCCACAGCATACGCGCCAGTGGCCTTCACAATAGAAGCAGAGGGATCCCTGTCATGGGCCGACACCCGCAGCAAAATATGCCCCGTGTGCGTGAACTTAATCGCGTTTAAGACCAGGTATTTTATCACCTGCCGGACCCGCAGCTCGTCTCCTAAAATCTGCGCCGGAATATCCGGAGAAATATCCGCTAGGACTTTAATCCCCTTCTCTTTAGTGGCAGCCATGGCCATTTTCAGGATATGATTCACCACCGCTACCGGCTCGAAGGGATGCTCCTCGAGTTTCATCTCTCCCGCTTCCATACTCGCGAGATCTAAAATATCCGCGAGAATATCCGATATGATCACGCCCGATGACATCATCGTCTCGACGATCTCGCGCTGCTCCTCATCCAACGCTCCAGATTCGAGCAGAACTTCGGCCAATCCGAGGATCCCGTTGAGGGGGGTGCGGATCTCGTGGGACATGATGGCGAGGAACATGGACTTGGCGCGCATGGCGTCCTCTGTGAGCTCGTATGCGCGCCGCAGCTCCTTCTCCGTTGTGCTGCGCACCATCATCTCTGCTCGTAGAGCCATCAGCCGCTCCTTGTACTGCGCCTGGTGGGGGGGGAGGGGGGGGAAGGGGGTGGGGAAGGAGGGAAGGGGTAAAGCAGCAGCAGCAGCAACAAGAGGGAGTGGGGAATGAAGGGGAAGAGGGGGTGAGGAGCAGAGGCGAGAGAGCAGCTCCTTCTCCGTTGTGCTGCGCACCATCAACTCCGCCCTCAGTGCCATCAGCCGCTCCTTGTACTGCGCCTGGTGGGGGGGGGGGGGGAGGTGGGGGGAGGGGGACGGGAGGAAAGGGGGAGTCGAGAGTGGGGAGGGTGGGCGGGGGGAAGGGGACAGGGAGGAAAGGGGAGGGTGGTAATACCTCCTCTGTTATATCCACGCTCGATGTAGTCACCGCCACAGTCCGCCCCTTTTCGTCCCTGATTGGACGAGCAGTCATCACCCACAGCATGAATGCATCACTCTCCTACAAGCACATACATACATCCCTTCTTTTTGCAGGTAGTTTAAGAGAACTCTGAAAAACGACCTATAAGTATCCCCCACCTTTCAACCCCCCTTCCCTCCCTTCCCCCTCTCCCTGGCCCCTGCCCTTCGTAATACCTCCTCTGTTATGTCCACACTCGATGTAGTCACTCCCACAGTCCGCCCCTTCTCGTCCCTGATTGGCCGGGCAGTTGTCACCCACACCATGGGGGGCCTTCCAGGAAGCTGCCACACCACCTCGCCCCGCTGCGCCTTGCCTGTGGCCAGCGCCCGCTGCTTGATCTCCATCGCCTCCTCCACTCCTAGAGTGCCACGTGGCAGAATGTCATAGTCCCTTTTCCCAATCATATCCTGGTTCAATGGGGAGCGGGGACCGGAGAAACAAGAGAGGGAGGGCGGGTGAGGGAAGGGGAGGTGGTGGGAAAGAGGAAAGAGGAGCTTAAGCAGAGAAGGGGTGAATGAGGGGTTTGGAGGGGTAGGAAGCGGTGGCAGTGGGAAGCTGCCACACCACCTCGCCCCGATGCGCCTTGCCTGTGGCCAACGCCCTCTGCTTGATCTCCATCGCTTCCTCCACTCCCAGAGTGCCACGTGACAGGATGTCATAGTCCCTCTTCCCTATCATGTCCTGATTGGATGGTTCGGATGGAGGGAAGAGGGGGAAGAAGCCAGCGGGTGGGAAAAGGGAGTGGTGGGGAAGGGGAGTGGTGGGGAAGGGGAGTCGGGGTTGGGAGGGGAGAGAGGGGAGGAGAGTAAGAGGAAGTGGGATGGGCGAACGCCCTCTGGTTGTATAGGGTCGCAAAAGAGACATGGAAAGCTGAAGGAGCCTGGGGCAATATAGGGAGGTGCTAAAGCCGAGTTTCGAGTTGACCCAGAAACCCTCCACCTTCCATAAGCCCGGATTCACCTGAGCTCTGTTGTTCTCACCTGATTCACCAGCAACAGGTTGCGGTTGCGGTGGAACCCAGGTGTATCTCAGGCTCGTATCCAGGTACAATCATAAAAGGCGCCCTTTCCAAAGCCACCTAAAGATTCACCTGAGCTCTGTTGTTCTCATCTGGACTCGGTTGTTCCCACCTCGCCTCTGTTGTTCTCACCTGATTGACCAGCAGGTTGTTGTTGAACACCCAGGTGTATCTCAAACTCGTATCAAGGTGCGCAATCATAGAAGGCGCCCTTTCCAAAGCCACCTGAAGATTCACCTGACCTCTGTTGTTCTCACCTGATTGACCAGCAGGTTGTGGTTGAACACCCAGGTGTATCTCAAACTCGTGTCCAGGTGCGCGATCATAAACGGCGCTCTCTCCAAAGCCACCTGAAAATTCACCTGAGCTCTGTTGTTTTCACCTGATTCACCAGCAAGTTGTGGTTGAACACCCAGGTGTATCTCAAACTCGTGTCCAGCTGCGCGATCATAAACGGCGCCCTCTCCAAAGCCACCTGAAAATTCACCTGAGCTCTGTTGTTTTCACCTGATTGACCAGCAAGTTGTGGTTGAACACCCAGGTGTATCTCAAACTCGTGTCCAGGTGCGCGATCATAAACGGCGCTCTCTCCAAAGCCACCTGAAGATTCAACCCCTCGCTCGCCCCGCCTCCCATGCTCCCTCCTTTCCCACCCCCCTTTCCCCCCACGAATCCCCCTCCGCCCCCAGCAGCCCCAGCAGCATCGGGAAAATAACTCCCAGCGCCCATTCTCCTCGCAGACCCTAACCCTAATGCAGCCAAATCTCCTCCGCTGCTGCTGTTCGGGATCATGTTCATGGTGATGTTTCCAGAGGGATCCATCCCCAGAGCCCCTCCGAGCGCTGCTCTGCTGCTGCTGGTGCCGGCGAGGGAGGAGCATTCGTGGAGGCCGCGGTCGAGGCGCAGCTTGACGTCTGTCAGTTGTTGTTCCAATGCTGCAAAGGCTGCCGTGTCGCCCTGAGAGGGAGTGGAGGAGGAGACGCGAAATGGAGCGGGAGGAAGGGGGAAGGTGCATATGAGGGAGGCGGAATATCTCAAATCCACCCAAATCCTCAACGCCACACTCTCCCTTTCGCCCATCCTCAACACCATTCGCGCCCTTATCCTATCCTCAACACCCCACTCTCCCTTCCCCCCATCCATCCTCACCTCTTCCTCCATCTGACTAACCTAGTTTCCAGCTCCCAACTGCGCAAAACCAGCGCCACTGCCTGAGCAGTGCTGCTCGCCCGTGCCGTGCGTGCTTCCCCCCCCCCCCCCCCCCCCCCCACATCGCCCCATCACTTCCCCCCATAACTTTTCCCCATCACTTTCTCCAACCAACCACTTCCCCCCATCCCTCGCCTCCTCCATCTGCCTCAGCCTAGTCGTCAGCTCCTGATTCCGCGTAGCCAGAGCCACAGCCTGTGCAGTAATGCTCGCCCGTGCCGTGCATGCTCCCACCACACCACCTCCAATTCCCCCCTCTTCCCAGTCCATTCCCCCCTTCCTCTCCTCACGATTTTTTAGGCGCCTCAAAAATAGCCCGTGCCGTGCATGCTCCCACCACACCACCTCCAATTCCCCCCTCTTCCCAGTCCATTCCCCCCTTCCTCACCTCCTCTTGAATCTGTCTCAGTCCGCTCGTCAGCTCCTGATTCCGCGCAGCCAGCGCCACAGCCTGCGCAGAGATGCTCGCTGCTCTCTCACACTCCTCCTCTTCCCAAATCCCCTCTCCCCTCTTTTCCTCCACCCTCACCTCCTCTTGAAACTGCCTCAGTCGGCTCGTTAAGTCCTGGTTACGCGCAGCCAGCGCCATGGCCTGAGCAGTGATGCTCGCAGTTCTTCTCTTTCCCCATTCCCACCTTCCTGCCCGAGCATCACTGCGCCCACCCACTCTTCCCCACTTTCCTCACCTCCTCTTGAAAAAGCCTCAGTCTGCTTGTAGGCTCCTGGTTGCGCGCAGCCAGAGCCACGGCCTGGGCAGTGATGCTCGCCCGAGCGTCTTCCCACCTCCAATTCCCCCCCTTACTTGGTCCATTCCCCCCTTCCTCACCTCCTCTTGAAACTGCCTCAGCCTGCTCGTCAGCTCCTGATTGCGAGCAGCCAGAGCCACGGCCTGTGCAGAGATGCTCGCTGCTCTCTCACCCTCCTCCTCTCCCCAAATCCCCTCACCCTCCTTTTCCCCACCCCTCACCTCCTCTTGAAACTGCCTCAGTCTGCCCGTCAGCTCCTGGTTGCGTTGTGCCAGAGCCACGGCCTGGGCAGTGATGCTCGCTCGAGCGTCCTCTGCCTCTTTGATCCGAACCTCCAGGCTCGTTGACCGAACCTTCCAGAAGTCCACCCCCTGTTCATTCTCCTCTGAACCTACGTGGGGGAGGGGAGATGAGAGACAAGTGGGGAGTGAGTGAGTGTCATGGTGTCATGGACGCATGAGTGAGTGAGTGTCATGGCATGCCCATGCGTCCTCTACACATTCCTCCGTGCAACCCCCTCTTCTCCGCGGTTCCATGATCCACCCAACCGAACCAGACCGTGCTCGAGAGCAAACAACCAGCAGCACACACCCATGAACTCGTCTCGGTCGGAATACGAGGACTGTCTGCGTGCGGGGGTCTGTGTGGGCCGCAGGTGCCCCAATATCCCCCTCTTACGCCCCAGCAAACCCCTCCTGCCCGCCGTTTCAGGCAACCTAACCCGTGCAGAGTGCAAACAACCAGCAGCACACACCCATGAACTCGACTCGGTCGGAATACGAGGACTGTCTGCGTGTGAGAGTCGGGTCTATTTTTGGCGGGAGTGCGAATCGAGCGTCTGTGCGCGCCTCAAGTGCACGAGTCTAACCAACCTAACCCGTGCACGAGTGCAAGCAGCAACACGCACCCGTACTCTTAACGAGGTCGGGATACAGGGAGTGCGAGTCGAGCGTCTGCGTGCGCCTCAGAATGCCACAATACCCCCCTCTTGCGCCGAAACAACCCCCAACCGTTCCTTACAATTTGTGCACAGTTCAACCAACCTGCGCAGAGTGCAAGCAGCAGCACGCACCCATGATCTTATCAAGGTCGGGATACAAGGAGTGCGAGTCGAGCGTCTGTGTGCGCCTCAGCTCGCCCCAACACGTCCCTCTTCCGCCAAGCACCCACTCTACCACCCCAGCAAACCCCTCCTCCACGCCATTCCAGGCAACCTAACCCGTGCACGAGTGCTACGACCAGCACGCACCCATGATCTTATCAAGGTCGGGATACAAGGAGTGCGAGTCGAGCGTCTGTGTGCGCCTCAGGCCGCCTAATGACCCATGGTCCCCTGCCACAACAGGTCATGCCATGCAGTTCAGTTCAGTTGCATGTCATGTCATGCCATTCAGTTCAGTTCAGTTGCATGTCATGCCATGCCATGCCATGCCATGCCATGCCATGCCATGCCATGCCATGCCATGCCATGCCATGCCATGCCATGCCATACCATGCCATGCCACGCCATGCCAAAACAGGCCAGACCATGCCATAGCATGTCATGATGACATGAGGAGGGATGATAGCGGAAGGAGTAGTAACATTGGATGAAGACGTTGAGAGAAGAAGACGAACCGATTATGAAGCATTTCAGAAATGAAAGTATGAACCAGAACAAGGGACGGATGGCCCAGGATGGGGAGAGCTGGGGAGGAATTGAAGTTTTTATCGCACCAAAACGAAACCGGACTCACTCTGGCTGTCTACTGTCGACGTGGCATGACTAGCAGCGCCGGCTCCGTGTAGCTGTTCCTCCAATGGCGACATGCCACCTGTCGCGAACTGAACCCTCTTCGCAGCATCGCTGTGAGCTCGCTGCAACCGGCCTGACGAAGCCGTTGGATGCGGCGGGGGCAGTCCGGGCTTTAAGGACGAGATAAGCGGCGCGGGCGGTTTATTCTTCGCCATGGCAGCTTAAATAGGATCCTAAAGGCGTAGCTATCTGCTTTGCGAGAAGAATATTGCGTCGCGTTATCGGCGAGCAGTCTGGTGCTTCTTAACGGGGATGAATTGGTAATGTTAGACTACAGTCCCTAGAGTTAGGAGTCAGTTACGATAAACTGTTACACATCGCCGTTACTAATGGCATCAATTGCTATTAACGGTTGCTATGGGCATTGTCGGAGCAGACCTGTAGAGCCTCCATAGGCGGAGGCACTCTCGTGTCATTGCCGAATTTCGAAAGGAAAACTACAAAGAAACGCCTTGTAATATGCCATTGCGGTTGGCGCGGGTCTCTTTCGAAACAGAGTCGGACACAACGAGATGCTGAGTCACGATTCGTTGAGTCGCACGCGATCAAACGCGGAATAGGCGCTTCGTCGAAACTAATCGCGATGAGACAGAGCGTGTTCGCGTGTTTCCGGGTCAGTCAATTTTTACGGAACGGTGCAGCCACGACTGATGACATCGCGACAATGACGCGAGCTGTTCGTGGCTCCAAATAATAACGCGGCGTGCAATATGATTATTGAATCGCGGTCACGATATCTGTGTTGGAGGTTGGTTGGTTATAGACGACAATCTGTCGGCCTGAGAAAAAACGCGAGCATACGCTTTACTGCTCTTAGTAACATGCTTCAGTGTCTCCTGGAAGGAGACTATCATTAACTTCCTCTTCCTTCGCAAGCTCGCTCTTGTAGCTGATCACCCAGTGTGAACCTGATCACCGTTGAAGCACCATTGGATCACCGTTCGATATATGTACAGACGAGGTTGCTCGAGAAAACGGTGACGGCATGGCTTGGCTCTCATCAAGCCATGGCAGCTCGCTTGGTGTAAAGTAAAAACTGCGCTGTGTGGTATATAAATGGCGGTGGTCTAGGGTGTGGTCTGGTACACTTCGCTGGAGACGCCAGCCATTATCACTATGTGCTGGTACATAACTTGTGAAAGTCGGCCATTTTTTTACTGCAGTTCAGTACGGTGCTTTGCTATCTACAGCGCTCGATTAAGCACCGTGAACGGTTGAGTGAGGGGTTGCTGTTTTGAGCCTCAACGTGTGGGACACGGCCTAGAAACCATCGATTAATCAGTTGTCGTTAATATGTCGCATGACGCTGACGAAAGCCCACGAACAAACGGGAAAAGTAGCGACGACAGCAATAGCTGCGGGACGACGAACCTAACGACGGGTAACGTAAGTTCCTCTCTGGCGATGCCTTGGGCAACGACGAACAGATACTCTGTCAACTTTCGTTTCCTCCCAACTGCCCGCAGGAGCCTTGGGAACTCCCGTCATTATGTGCGACTTGTGTGCGACGTCACTGAAGCTGGACGTGCTTGGTGGCGAACCAGAATTTGGCCGCAACTCCCGTCGCATGCTCTTGTGAAACCTTGGCTTCCGCACTTCCATGCGACCCGACACAGTTCACTTCGCTTCATGTGCGCTCCCCGGCACGAGGCAGTGCCGGGCATTATAAACATCACGTATATAGCGAACTGCAAGAAAATATGTTAACTTATGACAACCTGACGGTCAAGACCACAGGAACAAATCAAAAAAATCAAACAAAAAAACAGACCAAACCATCCACCATTTCGAAAGGCAGTTGATGTTTATCATCGTCGGAATGTTCATACTTTGGGCTTTGCAACATCTCAAGGCACACCGTTTGTCATCACTTCATGTGTGACCGAGCAATAATGCTTGACGATGTGCTGGTCCATGCTCCAATACTTGGGCATCTTTCGCAACGGCTTGATGTCCAGATCCATTATGGAAAGCTGCATGTAGAGGAATCAGGAAGGGTGCGAAAAAATGGGAATGGAGGGAGGAGGGGGGAAGGGGGAAGGGGGAGGAAAGGGGGAATGGGGAAGGAGAGGGCAGGGTTGAATATATTACCGAATGTATACTGGAGAACTGGGAGGAGAGAGGGGGGGGGGAAGCAAAGGGAGCCTGAATGAGCAGAACAAGGCCAGATGGAAACTGAACAGGCCAATACCATACAGGACAGAAACATAATCAACAAGGGAAAAACACACACACACACACACACACACACACACACACACACACACACACAAAACACACAAAAAAATCACTAAACTAGCAAGAAAACAGAACAGGAGGAAAGGAAGAGTCAGATTACCCTGTAGAAATACTTGCAGCCGCTGGATGGGCACACGACACTGCGAAGCTTCTGAGAAGCTTCCAGGGTCTCCCCAGGAATGGCTGCTCGGAGGGCCAGCATGATCCCACAGTCCTTGGCCGTTGCTGCGATGAGGAAATCGCGAAGAACCTTCCTGCAATCTTCCGTTATCTCTTTTGGAACCTCAGCAGCAGCAGCACCGGCAGCAGGGGCTGAAGGGACTGACTTCCTCTGGTTCATGTACTCGTTATAAGCATGAATCGCCCCTTCAATATCCCACTCATCCAGCTTCTGTGCTGCCAACAACTTCTCGAGCGCCCCACACTGCACGAGGCACTCTGTGGCCAGGGAGAGGAGAGCGTCCACCCGAGGGTGAGTCAGATGAGGTGCGGCAGACGGTGATTCTGCTGCTGCTGACGAATCACTGCTTGGCTTCTCCTTCCAAGCACGCACAAACCCTTCCAGGGCTGCTTCAGCAGCAGCCAAGCCTTCTGCCTCCTGTGCCTTCTCCTCCCTTCTCATAGCCGCTAAATCCAACGAATTCACTCTTTCAACCTGCACATCCTCTCCCACCTTTTCCCCCTTCTCCCCCTTACCTTTCCCCTTTTTCCCCTTCCCCCTGTCCGCCTGCCTGTGAATATGGCCCCCCAGCAGCAACTTCCCATCCGCAAAAATCCTCAGATTATTTTGCGGGTTATCAATCAGAGACCTCAAAGCGGAGAGAACGCGGGGGGGAGAGGAGGAGAAGAGGTCGAGAGGGTTGTATGCACTGCTCTCTGCCACCTCCCCCTCTGACAGCTTCAGCTGCTGGTGCATGGGGAAGCGCGGGACAGCTGTCTTCACGTGATTGGCCGGTGCGATGCAGGGGGAGGAGGGGCAGAACCCAGTCTTGGGCTGGGGAGATGGGGAGGGGAACAGGGGAGAGGAGGAAGGGGGACGGGATAGAAAGAGGGCAGGGAACGAAGGTGGAGGAAAAAGAGAAACAAATAAACTGGAAGGTCCCATCATCCTCAAACATGTTATTCTCTAGTCCCTCCTCCCCTTGACATTGCCTCACCTTCAGCTCGATGCAAAACGTCGTGCCATTATAACCGCGGCAGCTCCCGTGCGCATCCCCTCTCCTAACCTCCCTCGCCGTCTCCTCCCAGTCCTCCTCCCACTCCTCGCTCTCCAGGTGCAGGTGGGTCAAATCAGTCACCAGCAGCGCTTCTTCTATTTTCAAATCCACGTCCCCCTGAGCCTGCCTCCAGGGAGGGCGTCTTGGGCGGATGTGGTCCGCTACCTCTTGCAGGAAACTACGAGGAACCTTCACTGTCGCCTGGATCGGGGAGGAAGGAAAGGGGGGGGAGGGGGGGTGAAGACAGGGAAGGGACAGGCAGGGAGGCAGGCAGGCAGGCAGGGAGGGAGGGAGCAAAAAGGTGGAGAAGGGCGAGTGAGTCAAATATGTCACCAGCAGTGCTTCTTCTATTTTGAGGTCCACGTCGCCCGCCTGCCTCCAGGGAGGACGTCTTGGCCTAATGTGATCCGCCATGACCCGAGCCACAAATTGGTGGAGCAGGTCGATCGGATTCAAAGCCACTGCCAGCCAACTCAATGCTTGAGAGATGCCTCAAATGTTTCACATGTTGAAACACTCACCCCTGCTTCCACGAATTCGTCTCCTAACAGGGGAGCCATGACTCGAGCCACGAATTGATGCAGCAAATCGATCCGATCCGGAGCCACTGCCAGCTCCGGCACCACCTCTCCCCACAGCTCCCGCTCCTCCGGACGCAGCACAGGCTCGGGCTGCACCGAGCCTGCTTCCGTGCCTGCCGCCGAGGCTCCTGCCGTAGCTCCAGATAGGGACTCCCCGGCCACGACCTCCGCTTCTGGATGGTGCGAATCCGGCCGTTCCTTGCACACCCGCAACACCATGCCTTTCTGGGTGGAGGAAGATTGGAAAGAGGGCGGGTGAAAGGGCGGGGAGAGAGCAGGGGGGGGGGGGGGGGGGGACGGACAGAGGAGCAGTGGCAGAGGCTAATGTGAGTAACAAGGGTGGTGAGAATCAGGCCGTTCCTTGCACACCCGCAGCACCATGCCTTTCTGGGTGCACAATAGGGTTTGGGAAAGCAGGGGGGGAGAGAGCGGGGAGGGGAGAGAGCGGGGGAGCAGAGGGTGCGAGTGCGAGAGTCGAGGGAGGTGAGAATCGGATGTGGTCTGCTACCTCTTTGAGGAAGCTGCGAGGAACCTTGACTGTGGTATGAGGGACAGGGAGAGGGGAGGGAAGGGGGCAGGGGAAAGAGGGAGAGGAGGTGGGAGGGTGAGGCCCATGTCCCTACCCCCGCAATCCCTCCCCAATCCCCCTCCCCAATCCCCCTCCCCAATCCCCCTCCCAAGTCCCCCCCCTACCCCCCCAAACCCCTTGGAACGAGCACACGGCTCGTAGCGGGGCGACAGCCGGGCAGGGGGGACAGAACCGAGCACGCAATAATTCGGGGCAGGGGGGTGATATGGGGGACCATAATTCGGGGCAGGGGGGTGATATGGGGGACCATAATTCGGGGCAGGGGGGTGATATGGGGGACCATAATTCGGGGCAGGGGGGTGATATGGGGGACCATAATTCGGGGCAGGGGGGTGATATGGGGGACCATAATTCGGGGCAGGGGGGTGATATGGGGGACCATAATTCGGGGCAGGGGGGTGATATGGGGGACCATAATTCGGGGCAGGGGGGTGATATGGGGGACCATAATTCGGGGCAGGGGGGTGATATGGGGGACCATAATTCGGGGCAGGGGGGTGATATGGGGGACCATAATTCGGGGCAGGGGGGTGATATGGGGGACCATAATTCGGGGCAGGGGGGTGATATGGGGGACCATAATTCGGGGCAGGGGGGTGATATGGGGGACCATAATTCGGGGCAGGGGGGTGATATGGGGGACCATAATTCGGGGCAGGGGGGTGATATGGGGGACCATAATTCGGGGCAGGGGGGTGATATGGGGGACCATAATTCGGGGCAGGGGGGTGATATGGGGGACCATAATTCGGGGCAGGGGGGTGATATGGGGGACCATAATTCGGGGCAGGGGGGTGATATGGGGGACCATAATTCGGGGCAGGGGGGTGATATGGGGGACCATGATTCAGGGCAGAAAGCTCGGGTTTGGGGTTTAGAAAAAGGCATTCACGGGGAACAGGAATGGGTTGAGGGAGAAGAGAAGTGAGTCGGGTTCAGGGAGAGGTTTTGGGTTTCGGGGTTTGGGGTAATGGATCTGTGTTGAGGGGGGTATGGGAGGAGGGCAGGGGGGAACATTGGTGAGGAGGGTAAGGTATGAGGGCAGGGGGGAAAATTGGTGAGGAGGGTAAGTAAGGAAGGAGGTCAGAGGGGACATGTGATGAGATGGAAAAGGGGGGTGAAACCAGGGAAATGAGATGACACGAGGGAAAAGGGGGGAGTGAGACCAGGGGGGAATGTGAATGAGAGATGAGGGAAAGGGGGAGTGAAACCAGGGGGGAATGTGAATGAGAGATGAGGGAAAGGGGGAGTGAAAGCAGGGGAGGATGTGATGAGATGAGGGAAAGGGGGAGTGGAACCAGGGGGAAACGAAGATGACATTAGAGCATGGGGGAAGAGCGGGGGGAAGGGATCAGGGGGTAAGGGGATGACACAAAGGGCAGGGGGAAGGGGATGAAATAAGGGGAAGGGGGCTGAAGCTAAAGGAGATGGGGATGAGACAAGAGGGTGGATTCAGCAAGCGTGATCGTTTTGGAAATTCCCCTTTTCTTGTTCTTCCTTCTTCTAGTTTCTCTTCCTATTTCGGTTTTCTTCTCACTTCAAATTCCAGCCTCATTTCTCTCTCTTACCGCATGGCGCCACGTGGATCTGTGCCCTCGGCCTAGCAGCCCCGAGCCTAGCAGCCCCGAGCCTAGCAGCCCCGAGCCTAGCAGCCTCGAGCCTCGCAGCCCCGATCCTAGCAGCCCCCAGCCTAGCAGCCCCCAGCCTAGCAGCCCCGAGCCGGCTGGAGTGGGTGAGGCATGGAAGGAGGGGGGCCGTACGAGGGGGAAAGAAAGGGAAAAGGGAAAGGGGATGAGATAGGGGAAAGGTGAGACGAATCTGGGAAGAGTTAGATAAGGGAAAGGTGGGAGGCATCTGAGAAGAGTGAGATATGGGAAAGGTGGGATGAATCTGGGAAGACTGAGATATGGGTTTGGGGGGGCAAAATCCGGGTGAAAAGGGAGATTAGGGCAGGGGGGAAGGGGGGCTGGAGAGAGATGGGATGAGGGAAAGGGCGGTGAAACCAGAGGAAAATTGATATTTTCCCCTTGTTTTATTTTCTTGCTGTTTTGATTTTGTTCTAATTCTGTTTTTCAGGCCCCTTGATTCTCTTACCGCATGGCGCCTGCCGCCACGTGGCTCCCTGCCCTCATTCAAGCTGCCCCCAGCCTAGCAGCCCCGAGCCGGCTGGAGAGGGATGAGAGGCATGGAACACGGGCGCAGAACAAGGCATGGAACAACAACGCATGGAACAACAACGCATGGAACACGGGCGCGGAACAAGGCATGGAATGTCATCTCTGCGCGTGTCATCTCATCTCTGTGCGTGTCATGTCATCTCTGTGCGTGTCATCTCATCTCTGTGCGTGTCATGTCATCTCTGCGCGTGTCATCTCATCTCTGTGCGTGTCATGTCATCTATGCGCGTGTCATCTCATCTCTGTGCGTGTCATGTCATCTCTGTGCGTGTCATCTCATCTCTGTGCGTGTCATGTCATCTCTGCGCGTGTCATCTCATCTCTGTGCGTGTCATGTCATCTCTGCGCGTGTCATCTCATCTCTGTGCGTGTCATGTCATCTCTGCGCGTGTCATCTCATCTCTGTGCGTGTCATGTCATCTCTGTGCGTGTCATCTCATCTCTGTGCGTGTCATGTCATCTCTGCGCGTGTCATCTCATCTCTGTGCGTGTCATGTCATCTCTGTGCGTGTCATCTCATCTCTGTGCGTGTCATCTCATCTCTGCGCGTGTCATCTCATCTCTGTGCGTGTCATGTCATCTCTGTGCGTGTCATGTCATCTCTGTGCGTGTCATGTCATCTCTGTGCGTGTCATGTCATCTCTGTGCGTGTCATGTCATCTCTGCGCGTGTCATCTCATCTCTGTGCGTGTCATGTCATCTCTGTGCGTGTCATGTCATCTCTGTGCGTGTCATGTCATCTCTGTGCGTGTCATGTCATCTCTGTGCGTGTCATGTCATCTTTGTGCGTGTCATGTCATCTCTGTGCGTGTCATGTCATCTCTGTGCGTGTCATGTCATCTCTGTGCGTGTCATGTCATGATATATCTGAGCATGTCATGTCATCTCTGCGTGTGTCATGTCATCTCTGAATGACCGCCCACCTCAGCAAGGTAGGTCCGTGATGATGCTGGCGGTGTCGGGTTGACGCCGCGTCCGGTCATGACACGTCACCCGGTGCCACGTGCCACGTCAGCAGGCCGTCGTCATGCGTGGCCAGGGCCGGGCACACGTCCGTCAGCCGGGCCCACGTTGGGGAGAAGCACGGACGAACGCCTGTCCGACGAGGGAGGGCGGGGGAAGAGGAGTGGGGGGGTGGGAGGGTGGGGAAGGTGGGAGTGCTTGGGATCAGCATTCACACGGCTCACCAACCCCAGTGCATCGTATTGTCGCCCGCAGCACACGGCACGAGCGCGCCGCGCCCTTTGGCATCATACCAACGACTCATCATGCGCAGCGCACTCAGCCGGCGTCGCGAGCAGGCGGCGGGAGCGCGCTTCAGCCGGCGACCGTTGGCATCAACCGACCCCCCTCTCCCCCCCTCTCGGCATCTCATGCGCGCCGAGAGCAGGCGGCACGAGGGCTCCATGGGCCGCGTCCTGCAGGCGAGGAGAGGAGGGGGGGGGGGGGAAACGGGAGGGAGAAAAGAGGTAAGTTGATGCTTGGCAATGCTTGAACAAGCACCTCCGTGACCGTCAACACACCTCAGCATGTGCTGGCTGCAGCATGCCAGCCAGGACCGCGCACACGTGAGCAGGAACAACGAAACGCGGCAATCGAAATAATCCGAGCTAACAAACGGGAAACTACGAAGAAAACGAGAGTACGAGAAACGGGACTATGAAAGCGCGACTAAGAAACTGGGACTACGAAATCGTGATGCCATGGCCCATGGCTCACCGAGTTGCGCACCGAGTGGCGAGTGGCGCACCGGCAGCGCGGAATGGCGCCGTTTCCGCATGGTGCCATGTGCAGCGCGGAATGGCGCCGTTTCCGCATGCCGTCACGTGAAGCGCGTAATGGCGCAGTTTCCGCATGCCGTCACGTGAAGCGCGTAATCACGCAGTTTCCGCATGGCGTCACGTGAAGCGCGGAATGACGATGTGCGTGTTGGCGCACCGGCAGAGCGCCAGCCACCGTTGGCGCACCCGCTGTAGGTGAGAAAGAGGGGGGGGAAGGATGGGAGGGAGGCAGAGGAGGAAGGGTCAGGTGCAAGCGAGTCAGATCCATCCGCAGCAGCCCACCTGATTCCCACGCATTACTCCCCTCTCCTCCCCTTCACATCGCCTCACCTTCAGCTCGATGCAGGCAGCCGCTGTTGGCGCGCATGCAGCGCGGCGTTCGCTGCTGTCCGCGGAACCAGCAGGCAGCGCCGCGCTGCCTGATCCGCCAGCAGGCTGCGCGCTAATGATTGATGCCTACACGACCACGTTACAAGGCGTAAAATGGCTGGAAAATCTGGGGAATAAGCAAACTGACGATTAAGAACCAAAAAACACCAGAAAATGGCTTGAAAATTAGGATGCTAGTATTTGCATGTGGTTTTATTGAACGCACTGAATCGCGCTAATCGATTCACCAAACCCCGCCAGCCCCGCCATGCCCTCGCTGCGGCCCGCGACGCACCTCTTGGCGCCCACCTGGTCGGTTCTCGCCGTCTCGTCGCTAGAGCCACGTGGGAGGACTTCTCTTCACCACGATCTCACGAAATGGGATGCACTATGGGCTGCGCCGTGATTACTACTTCGGCGCGAATGGTAATGTGCTCTGCTATTGACTCAACCGCCATGGCTGATGGCGTTTTCTTGGATTAGGGTTCCTAATTTTGCTAGAGACGAGAATAAGTGACTCATGAGGAGTGGTAATCGAGTGAGTTACCTGCACATGTCGTGATGGGGAGGGGAGGGAGGGAGCAGAGCGGTACAAATTGGTTGGTTGGAAGTGGGGCTACCCACCCACCTACAGTGCCACTCTGTATCCTGAAAACGCTTGACCAGCGTTTCGCTCTCGCTGTGACGGTCCGAAATGAAATCCAACCAAACGAGTGTCTCGAGACTAGAGACCCTGAAAATGTTCAGAAATTCGAAGGTGAAAACAGAAGAAAAACGAAAATCGGATCAGCAGTACAGTGTTACCAAACAGAGCCAACACACTCTACACGTTTTGAAAACAAAACGTTTCAAAAGAAACGAGCTGGGGTATGTTAAGGAAGAAAAACAAAACATTGAAGAAACTGCAGGTTGTGCGAGGTGGCTGGTTTGTTGGCAGCGCGTGCGTGACCATAAAGACTTCCATTCGCTATGGAAACAAACACTTGATTCCTTGGTCATGGTTGTTTTGCAGCTTGAAGCGCTCGTCGGTAGATTCTCTTCGCGCTTCCGCCAATTGAATCACACTCAGCAGAATTTGCACTTGGACACAATGGCATTGGCGCGCTTCATCGGCAGAAGAGCACTTTGAGAAAATACAATGCATCTCTGGCCTAATAAAAGATTGTAATGCATTTCTTCCTTACACAACAATCTGTTATATTCTTTCTATTATCAACATTTACATGGTGATGTCAACAGTCGAAGCACGACATAATGATTTCTACGTATCATTTATGCTAGGATCAGTTATGCGAGGGGACACCTAAACCCAATATTCCTCGCGAGTAGTATACCTTGCAAAAACGCTTGCATCCTTCATCGCAGGGCCTACCGAGTGTGCATTTCGAGGTGAGATGGGTCATGCTTGCTAGTAGTTCTCGCTAACCGTCTCTTTCTTTGCCCTTCCCTCTCATCCCTCCCCCCATTGCCAGTTCCCCTCTCCCCCAACTCCTGAGAAAGCGCACGTGAGTGTTTCATGCCTGCCCATTCTCTGTAACCTTCTGTGTTTCTTCTGTCCCCTCACCCCTCTGCCCACCACCAGGTCCCCCTCTTCCCCGAGGCCCTAGAGACTCTTCCCCCGAGTCCCGCCCATCCCCTCACCCTCTCGCTCATCCTCTCACCCCCTCTCCCTATCGCCCATCCCCTCACCATGTTTCTCTGAAACACTCGAGAGATGATAAAGCACCCACTAGGGGCCTTGCTTCCGAGTGAACTCGCTGCACCACCACCTCTAGTTGTTCTGTGGTTGCTGCCTGCTGCTTGTTGTTTGCTGTGTGCTGGTTCATACCGTAAGATCCATACAAGCACCATGTCAGGCCTTGGGTCAGTTAGAGGGGCAGCCATGCTTCAATATCACAATCTTTGCTATGCATACATCACCATCAAAATCATCTCAAAGTGCCAATGCACCTGTCATCATTGCCTCGGGAAAAGCAACCCAAAACATCCAGCAACTCTGATGCATGTGAATTGGTATCATCGTGGACATGCTCAAACTGCGGTAATTGGGCTTCGCGACGCCTCAAGGCACGCCATTTGTCATCCCGTCACGTGTGACCGAGCAGTAGTGCCTGACGATCTGCTGGTCCATGCTCCAATACTTGGGCATCTTGCGCAGCGGCTTGATGTCCAGATCCATTATGGACAGCTGCATCATGCAGAGGAATCAGGAACGGGGAGGAAAGGAGGGAGGGGGAAGGGGGGGGGGGGGGGGTGGGGAGGGGGGTGGGGGGTGGGGAGAGGAGGGGGGAATGGGGAGGGAGAAGGCAGGGCTGAAGATAGTACCAGGTGTATAATGAAGAGCTGGGGGGAGAGAGAGGGGGAGAAGCAAAGGGAGAATGCATGAGTGGAACAAGGGCAACTGGAAATCAAACAGGCCAATACTGTGCAGGACAGAAACAGAATCAGCATCGAAAACACACACACACACACACACACACACACACACACACACACACACACACACACACACACACACACACACACACACACACAGAAACTAAATCAGCAGCAGGAAAACAAACAAGAGGAAAGAAAGGGGCAGCTCACCCTGTAGAAATACTTGCAGCCGCTGGACGGGCACACGACACTGCGAAGCTTCTGAGAAGCTTCCAGGGTCTCCCCAGGAATGGCTGCTCGGAGGGCCAGCATGATCCCACAGTCCTTGGCCGTTGCTGCGATGAGGAAATCGCGAAGAACCTTCCTGCAATCTTCCGTTATCTCTTTAGGAACCTCAGGACCAACAGCAACGCCAGCAGCAGCAGCAGCAGCAGCAGCAGCAGCAGCAGCAGGGGCAGAAGGCGTTGACTTCCTCTGGTTCATGTACTCGTTATAAGCATGAATTGCCCCTTCAATATCCCACTTATCCAGCTTCTGTGCTGCCAACAGCTTCTCCAGCGCCCCACACTGCACCAGGCACTCTGTGGCCAGCGAGAGGAGAGCGTCCACCCGAGGGTGTGTCAGATGAGGTGCGGCAGACGGTGATTCTGCTGCTGCTGACGAATCACTGCTTGGCTTCGCCTTCCAAGCACGCACAAACCCTTCCAGGGCTGCTTCAGCAGCAGCCAAGCCTTCTGCCTCCTGTGCTTTCTCCTCCCTTCTCATAGCCGCTAAATCCAACGAATTCACTCTTTCAACCTGCGCCTCCTCCCCCACCTTTTCCCCCTTCTCCCCCTTACCTTTCCCCTTTTTCCCCTTCCCCCTGTCCGCCTGCCTGTGAATATGGCCCCCCAGCAGCAACTTCCCATCCGCAAAAATCCTCAGATTATTTTGCGGGTTATCAATCAGAGACCTCAAAGCGGAGAGAACGCGGGGGGGAGAGGAGGAGAAGAGGTCGAGAGGGTTGTATGCACTGCTCTCTGCCACCTCCCCCTCTGACAGCTTCAGCTGCTGGTGCATGGGGAAGCGCGGGACAGCTGTCTTCACGTGATTGGCCGGTGCGATGCAGGGGGAGGAGGGGCAGAACCCAGTCTTGGGCTGGGGAGATGGGGAGGGGAACAGGGGAGAGGAGGAAGGGGGACGGGATAGAAAGAGGGCAGGGAACGAAGGTGGAGGAAAAAGAGAAACAAATAAACTGGAAGGTCCCATCATCCTCAAACATGTTATTCTCTAGTCCCTCCTCCCCTTGACATTGCCTCACCTTCAGCTCGATGCAAAACGTCGTTCCATTATAACCGCGGCAGCTCCCGTGCGCATCCCCTCTCCTAACCTCCCTCGCCGTCTCCTCCCAGTCCTCCTCCCACTCCTCGCTCTCCAGGTGCAGGTGGGTCAAATCAGTCACCAGCAGCGCTTCTTCTATTTTCAAATCCACGTCCCCCTGAGCCTGCCTCCAGGGAGGGCGTCTTGGGCGGATGTGGTCCGCTACCTCTTGCAGGAAACTACGAGGAACCTTCACTGTCGCCTGGATCGGGGAGGAAGGAAAGGGGGGGGAGGGGGGGTGAAGACAGGGAAGGGACAGGCAGGGAGGCAGGCAGGCAGGCAGGGAGGGAGGGAGCAAAAAGGTGGAGAAGGGCGAGTGAGTCAAATATGTCACCAGCAGCGCTTCTTCTATTTTGAGGTCCACGTCGCCCTGAGCCTGCCTGCCTCCAGGGCGGCCGCCTTGGCCTAATGTGATCCGCCATGACGCGAGCCACGAACTGGTGGAGCAGGTCGATTCGATTCAAATCCACTGCCAGCCAACTCAATGCTTGAGAGATGCCTCAAATGTTTCGAATGTTAGAACACTCACCCCTGCTTCCACGAATTCGTCTCCTAACAGGGGAGCCATGACCCGAGCCACGAATTGATGCAGCAGGTCGATGCGATCCGGGGCCACTGCCAGCTCTGGGACCACTTCCCCCCACAACTCCCGCTCCTCCGGACGCAGCACAGGCTCGGGCTGCACCGAGCCTGCTTCCGAGGCTCCTGACGTAGCTCCGGATAGGGACTCCCCAGCCACGACCTCCGCTTCTGGATGGTGAGAATCGGGACGTTCCTTGCACACCCGCAGCACCATGCCTTTCTGAGGGTACAAGGGTTTTTGGGAAAGCAGGAGAGATAGACAGTAGGAGGGACAGAGAGTGCGAGTGTGAGTGACAAGGGTGGTAAGAAGATACGACTGTTCGTATCTTCTTACCGTCGCGCTGTCGGTGCGCAGGGGAGGACAGAGGAGCAGTGGCAGGGGCGAATGTGAGCAACAAGAATGGTGGGAATTGGGACGTTCCTTGCACACGCGCAGCACCATGCCTTTCTGGGGGTACACGGGTGTTTGGAAAAGCAGGGGAGAAAAAAGGGCACGGTGGGGGGAGGGGGGGGAGAGCGGGGGTAGGCAGAGTGTGCGAGTGTGAGTGACAAGGGTGGTGAGAATCGGGACGTTCTTTGCACACGCGCAGCACCATGCCTTTCTGGAGGTACACGGGAATTTGGGAACGTCGGGAATGCAGAGAGAGAAAGGGGAGCAGAAGATGAGAGTGTGACTGGCAAGTGTGCACAGAAAATACAGCCGTTTCTTGCTTGCATGCAACACCATGCCTATCTGAGTGGAAGGGATTTTGAAAAAAAAGTGGGGAGAGCGGCAAGAGGGAGGGGGGAAAGGGGGTTGGGGGAGGGTGGGGGGGGGAGGACGGAATAGAGGAGCAGTGGCAGGTGCGAGTGTGAGTGACAATGGTGAGGAGAATCCAGCCGTTGCTTGCTCACGCTCAGCACCATGCCTCACCACGCCTCACTGACTATTGAATCGACTCAGAAAGACGTCTCAAGGTCACGCCTCACCGACATTCCTTGCTCACGCTCATGACAGACAGATGTGTGTACCGATATTCATAAGCAATGCATTGAACGGGCACAATCTGCGTTTTGTGAAAGAAGGATGGTTCTGAAACGTCTCAAACGCGCTCATGACGGACAGGTCACGGATGTGTGTACCGATGCTCATAGTCAATGACATGAAAACGAAAAATATATAAACAAACAAACAAAAGCAAAAAGAAGGCGAAATATGCAGTTTTATGGTTGCAATGTACGACCAAAAAGAGGTAATACCGTGCGTGAAATACTCAAAACTAGCTACCAGGAACGGGTAAAGATAAGCGTTCTTATCAAAGAAGGCATTTATGTGGACTTTGAAGAGTCACCAGAGAGGAGTTGGTAACTGCTGTCGTTCTTTTCATTCTTTCCTTTCCAGGAGCCACAGAACTGAACCCGTCAACCTTAGTTGTGTTTTTTTATTTTTCATTTGATGTATGACGGCTCACCAGGGACGGATCGTGGCCGCAGTAGGACATGACGATGTTCGCGGAACCTTCGCCACGATACGCCCAGTCGAGAGGATTCAGCTGTATTTTACTCCTAGCGTCGTTAGCGCCAACACACGGCGACTGCTTACTTCCAGCGATCAGTCCATTTGAGGCTGGTGCGTCTAATATCTCTCCTGCTGCTATCCCTGACGTTGCTGTTGCTTCGCATGTCGCAGCACCCGCTGCGACTGCTGCGTCCGCATCTGACGACCCGACGCCAGTCGGTGCCATACGTGGCGAAATACTCGGCGAAATGCGTTGCGATATGCGCGATGACAATAACGGAACTTCGATCCGCGACCACAGAGCACTGCAACACGAAACAAGCGCTTAGCTGGAGACTAGAATGGGAACTTCTACCGAAGAAAGACCCGAACGACCAAGAGCAGAAGTTTGCAATCTTCTATCAATGCAAATTAGAACCTGAAACAGGCGTGGACAGAGAGGATCCATGAAGGTTGCAGGCAGCAGGATCAGAATGTCCGAAGCTTTCATTTTGGTCATTCCCAAGAGAACAGCACTGAGGGCTCTGAGCGGTGCGGTAAGGTGCTTTGGTTTTTAGAGCGGTCCGTGGTCTAGAACTGACACGTCAAGCAAAAGGGGCACCTATCGAGCCGACGCGGACGAAACTTTTGTGACATGTCCTGAAGCAAGCATATTATTGGCCTGCTTCTAACGTGTACGAAACTCTACTGACGCGCCCTCCCTGACACAAGAATGCTGTGCTGTCAGTCCGTACGCCTGGAAACAAGCCGTAACGTGCAGAATCATACCGTGCCGTACCATACCGTGCCGTGCAAGGGCCTGTAGAACAATCCAGCCGTTAGCCAAATTAGCTAGTAGATATAGGAGCCTTTTCAGAGTTATGAGTATGAATGTATGAATAACTTCAAATTTCACATGCTATATGTTGCAATAAACGAAAGGTTATTTCGGCATTCCTAAGTTATGGAAACAGCGCACCTGCTCATAAAGTTGATAATATCTCACAACTATCGCGTTATAGTCGAATAGAGCACGCAATAATAGGGAGACAGAAAGTTAATAGTCGGAAGTCAACTGTGCTGACTGTTAACTGACCTGTACCGGAGGATACGAGCTACACATGGTAACCACTAGGCATCGGAATAGTCACTGCCACTGTACCGATACCCATAATACGGTTGAATAAGAGCATGTACCCCTCAGCAAGGCCCACGATATCAGGGCAAATCATCCTGATTACCCTGATTTCAGGATGCGGTTTTAAATATGCCCTGTAATTTCAGAATGCTGCTCATTTGTACCCTGTGGTCTCATGATGTTGCTATATGATATGCCCTGAATTTTCAGGATTGCCGTACTGTTTTGTCCTGTAGAGTCAGGATGAATATCGAACATTCCCCTGATGCGAATTTTGGGGGGGGGTGCTGGGGTGGGAGGAAGAGGGGGGGGGGGGGGGGGGGTAGGGGGGGTGGGGGCTGGTTTTCCCTTGACACGCGTACGCACCAACCAGCCAACCACCGACCACGCGCTCGTTAGCATCGGCCATGCCCAACGCGGACGATGTCACGGGCCACGGCGCCAGTAGCATGTCAGAATCACTGTGCAGGAATGACATAGCATAGGCTGACATGACACGTTTATGCTTTTTTGCCCTGAGAGGTCAGGATGTATTTCTGCCTAAGTGTTAAGATTAGGAGATTATGCAGTACTTAGGTTTAGGAGAGGTTTAGCAAGGAGAATCATGGAGGGAGAAGTTTGGCCAAAAGAGAGGCTTTCATTATGAAGTTGGGAGTACAAATAGGAAGGAGAGGAAGGGGAAAAGGGTACACCACCAGCAGTTGAACCTAATATCTAACTAATACACTAGCAAGCTGTAGGCAGTTATAACAGGATATGCAAATATAATTCAACACACCCCCGTAACTGCCTACGGCTATAGCTAGTGGTGTCTGGCACCAGGTCGCATGGAGAGCGGTTGCTGTAGCTGGGATAGGCACAGAAACAGCGGTGGCTGACCGGCAGCACCTGTGAACGCCAGGACGGAGGAGGGCGCGGAGAGCGCGGAGGAGGGCTGGGATAGCCGGAGGGCGAAGGATGCTGGTCGCTTGCCATCTACGAGCAAACACAACTGTTGGTGAGGAGGAGGAAGCTAGTGGTGGTGCACAGGAGGAGAGCAGAGGAGTGGCGGCTGGAGGAGAGGAGAGAGGAGGAGGAGATGCGGCTGTAGGAGAGGAGAGTGGAGGAGGAGATGCGGCTGGAGGAGAGGAGAGGAGAGAGGAGGAGGAGATGCGGCTGGAGGAGAAGAGGAGAGGAGAGGAGAGGAGAGGAGAGGAGAGGAGAGGAGAGGAGAGGAGAGGAGAGGAGAGGAGAGGAGAGGAGGTGGCTGGCGCGGCAGAAGCTCTCCCGCCACCCCCTCATCCCCCTCCCCCCCATGCGCTGGCGCTGGCGGAAGCGCTGGCGCTGGGCGCTGGCGTCGCGCTGGCGCTGGCGCCCGCCGTTGGCGCTGGCGCTGGCGCCCGCCGTCGGCGCTGGCGTCCGCGCTGGCGCTGGCGACCGCCGTTGGCGCTGGCGCTGGCGCCCGCCGTTGGCGCCCGCCGTTGGCGCTGGCGCTGGCGCCCGCCGTTGGCGCTTGCGCTGGCGCCCGCCGTCGCCTCGCTGGCACGCTCGCCACTGGCAGAGCGCGACGGGGCAGGCGAAAGGGGGCAGCGCGACGGGTGCTGCAAAAGCAGCGGATTTCGAGCCAGCAGCGGATTTCGCGCTACTAGCAGTAGCAGCCATGCCAGATCGCGGGTTTGGTGGGCCCATGAAAAACGAGGTCCTAGGAGGGACCACCCTCTGATACCATGTTAAGATTAGGAGATTATGCAGTACTTAGGTTTAGGAGAGGTTTAGCAAGGAGAATCATGGAGGGAGAAGTTTGGCCAAAAGAGAGGCTTTCATTATGAAGTTGGGAGTACAAATAGGAAGGAGAGGAAGGGGAAAAGGGTACACCACCAGCAGTTGAACCTAATATCTAACTAATACACTAGCAAGCTGTAGGCAGTTATAACAGGATATGCAAATATAATTCAACACTAAGGCCTTGAGAAATCAGGGCATTTTTTTGGATTCTGCAAAGTTACCCTGAGGCCTCAGGATGCCCTAGATCCTAGTGAGGGCCCTGCCCCTCAGACTACATGGCTAGCTATAACTATATAGCTAAACCAACGTAATGTCAAGCTTTTATCATCTTGTTATTTACATTCACTATGACAAGGTCTCTCTAAGACTTCTGCTGTCTTAAAATCCTATACCTTATTATGTCTAGTCGCTCCTTCAATTATATCAACATGGTATGGGAGCTAGTTTAGATGATTATGATTGCTAGAACAGGTTTTATCATTGAGCTTCTGATAAAATGTTTGATACACGGCTTTGCATCAGGCGCTGATTGCGATGAAAGTGGAGAAAAATAATCTCTCGTTCAACCAACATCCCCTCAGGAGTAACATCTTCTAATTCTGGTCTCATCGATCAACTCATCTCACGCATCAATGCCCTGGGGAGGGGAGCCATCATCAGCCCATAAGCATTGACGTCGCTAGTTTCGCCTGAAGACCTCCACGCCCATTTGGACTTAACTCGGAGCGTTCGTTCACCTTCGACAATCGTCAAGGGCAAGCATATTCTCAAACAGAATGGTTGCACTTCGAGGCATTATCATCAGTTCATAACAAGTTTCTCACGAATTCCAAACTGAAGA